AAAAAGGGACAATAAGCCTTTTAATTTTTTTACTGAAAAATTATTTTGAAACTTACGGAAGCGTAAATGAGACAGTTTATCTCATATTTACAAGATAGGATCTCATAATTATGAGATAAGCTGTCTGATTATCTCATAATAAACTCATGAGATTTTTGCTCAAATAGAGCAAAAAAGTTTTAAAACAAAAAAGAAAACTGAAACAAAAACAGATTTTAAACTGAAAATAAATGTTCTTTTAGTTTCAGATTACTGTATTATTCTTTTGTCAGTTTCAAACTGCTGCGTGTCTGAGGAGGAGGACAGATACTTATTGTTATACTCACAGCATTATAGCAATAAATATTTCAAGGTTGTTGTTTTTTTATTTCTTTTGGGTCCTAAATCAGTTTTTTTTACATGTTTCAAAATTTGTTTTCAGTTTTATTGTTTTAAATTTTCTTTGTTTCAGAAATATTCTTTAGTTTTTTTTTTTTCCCGTTCTCTTTCAAATCTTCTTACAGTTTACAAATGTTTTTGGTTAATTTTAAATTTCACAGCAGTTCCTCTATTCTGTCATTCAGAAAATAAATGTAACTTAATTGAAATTATTGGAACAAAATATTCCTGAAAAGGGTTCAGGTTAGTTGTTTTCACACCTGATCAGGTTGTGATACTATCCTAAGTTAGAGCTGCATTTATATTTAAGCAATTTTTTTTTGTCAGATTACCATATTTAAAGAGCAGACAGACTGTTTGGTTTAATTTCTGCTTGGTAAACATTTTCTGGAGTTGTTGGCTTCCAGTTTCTGATCAAAGCTTCAGGTTTTTTCCATCCCAGTAAAGATTGTTGCAGACTGACTCTGCTTCCTGGTGCCAAGGCCAGAAATCTCACCAGAGTGCTGCAAAAAAATAAATCTATGTCAAATTTTCTTAGAACAAGAGCATCTTTTCTTGAAATAAGCTGGTAAGTGATACACTCTGCCAATGGAACAGGACAATTTACATTTAAAATAAGAAAAAACAACTTTAGTCTCTTCTTTCAAGTGCATAATATCTAATTATGTTATTTTATTGTTATTTTAAGAGTAAAAATGCTCATTCCATTGGCAGGTGATGTTATTTACCTGCTCATTAGGGTAAATAAAATCAATTTAACATTTTTACTCATTTTTAGATCATTTTTGCTGTGAGGGAAAGGAAAGAAGAGTGAACCGGTTACCGGGCGGTCATCGGCACCCAAACCGATAATCCTGGAGGTCTGAGAGCAAAAATGTCTGATAAATGTGATGATAATTTCAGATGGATCATTATTTATACCTAAAACTAATATGTTTGCAGTGATTTAATGAATTTAGCTTTAATAAGTAAAAAGATAAAAACAATAATTTTTGTCTGGGAGCGGCCATTTCTGCCCAAATATAGTAGCCCCTCCCTCCTGCCATCTTCCAGCAGTGACGTCACGGTGCGGTAAGCCTAGCGCCATTCTCCCCGCTTTACAAGCTAAATCAGTGGGAACTACTAGACACATCTGCAATCAACAACAATTATTGAAGATTTCCAGAGGACTTCACCATTGAAATTCACCAGAGCTATAGTGAAACTGACAATGCCCACGTGCATGGCAGCTGGATGCTGGAATACATCGAGTTAAAGTGAAAAAAAGAGTTATTCCACCTTTCTGATTCCTGATCCTCCACGGACGGGTTGGTCGTTGGATCGCCAACTTGAAGAGGGAGGATTTGCCATCGAACTTCTGGCCAGAGAAAAAACCCGTAATATGTAGCCAACATCTGGAAGAAGAATGTTTTCAAGATGACTTGGATAATAGCGCGTTGTGACAAACACCAGATACAGCACTGGGACTTGATCAACAGCCGATACCGCACCGTGACGTCACAAACCAGTAGGTGGCAGTAGTGTTCTTTGACAAACATGGATGCCTCCAGTAAAGCACATTCACATGAAAATTACTCTGAATTAAAAACACTGATCATTTATTGAACAGGATGGAATAATTTCAGATTTAAAGAACTTTCAGAAGTTTGAATTCTGATTATGAGCGGACTTTTCCTTTAATGAGTTTCTGTATTCTCCAAAGCTGAGATGGATGCCAGTTATTGTGTGTATAAAAGAATAAAGAAAGGCCTGCTGTATAAATGCTGTTTCTATAGATCCGTTGTCTTCAACATTTTCCAGGCCAAGGACCCCGAACCAATGGCTAGATGGAATGGGACCCACTAATTATATATATTGTATTAAATAGTGTTCTATCAAACTGGTCCTATAGTCACTCTATTACAGATGGAATGTAACTAAAGTAATCCCTCCCTGGGATTATTAAAGTATTTCTGATTCCTGGTTGATGGGACAGGTGTTGTGAATGAAACGGTGCCCAGCTTGAAAGAGCTCCTGTGTGTCTCTGAATGTGTGCATTGATGACTGAAAGACATCTTCTGCCTCCGTTTACTACAGTCTGTTGGATTCATGTTCATGTGGATTTAAAGACATTTTTATTAGTGGAAAAAATACCAGGGGGGAATATAAAAAACTGTCTAATGAACCAAAACTTTCACTATCCCCATGCAGTACCTCTGTGGACCCCTAGGGGTAGCAGACTCCCTGTTGAAGACCTCCGATACAGACTGTACATGAAGAATGCTTCTATAAATGCTCCAAACATTATGTGTGTACATAATAAGTAACAATTCAGGAATACGATTATAGTGCAAAAGCTAGAATTATAGACATTATAAGGTAGAGTTGCATATCTTAGAAGCACTGAAAGGAAATCATCCTGTTTCTTCTGCTTTGTTCACATGAAAAAGGATTCAGCCATTTGTTCGTCTTCATTAAACCAAAGAATCAATAAATTCAACTGAAACCTTTTTCTATGAATCTCTCTACCTGTAAAAGAGAAAAATGATAAAGTTTTGCAGAGCTAAAATGGGTCTGTAATATTTGTGTAAAAAACGTTTTTTTGAACTGAAAAATAAAATGAACTGGAAAAGATTTGATTGTATTTATATTACATTAACTAATATCTTTGATAATGTCTGTGTCCTTGAACCCCAGTGGGCCTCAGCAGATGGCCGCTCACACTGAGCCTGATTCTGCTGGAGGTTTCTTCCTGTTCAAAGGGAGTTTTTGCTCTCCACTGTCGCTACAAGCATGCTTAGTGTGAGGGATTGCTGAAGAGTCAATGAGTCAATGCAATCAGCTGGTTTTCCTTAGATAGAAAACTTTGAATCAATCTGACTGGATGATCTGGTGAACTGGAAAGTGACCTGAGATGACATGATGTGAATTGGAGCTATAGAAATAAACTGAATAGAACTGAATTATATATAAAAAAAGATAAAGCTGAAAATGAATTCTGGGGAAAAATATACCTTAACTTTTCAGTTCAGGTTTGCTTTTTTGCTTCTGTTGTAGCTCAGTATGGGGGGGGGGGGCTAAGATCAAATTTTTTTTGGACAAAGCCATTCACGCTAGGTTGGGTTGCGGATGCCCGGGGCGGGCCTGTAGGTGCGACCGCCATCAGAGGCGGACGGACAGTCTCCTCACTCCGTCTGCTCTCCGTTGTCATGGTTGCGGTGCTAGTATTCCTCTACACTGGTGGTGGTTTTCCAAAAACATTTGAAACGTGTTTCTGTGCTAGCCTAGTAAACTATCCCCACCCGCCAGCGGCCAAAATCATTTTTTCCTGCAGTGGTCTAGCCTCGATCAATGCCCCAGGCCCTAGAACTGGTGGACCAATCAGAATGCAGAGATGGGTTTTGAGTTTCTGTATGCAAAGTGGGCGGGGTTTGAGGGGCGTGACGACAAAGCTGTGCGACGCTGGATAAAGCACAACAAGGAAGATGGCAGCAACTATTGAACAGCTCTGGTTTGACTCCGCTTTGGAATCAGTTTGGAAGGATTAGACTTTGGGTTTTCATTGAAACGTGAGCAGCAAGAGGCTCTACGCTCATTTATTTTTAAGAAGGACGTATTCGCCGTTTTACCGACAGGCTTTCTGTCGCGGTTACTACGTCACAGACAGTGGCGCTCATTGGTCAGAGCGTTGGCCAATAGACACAGACATGGCTTGAAAAACAGGGTTGTTCTCATCAACAATCTTCTGATGTTTTATGTATCGGGGTCAGACTAGATTACACATTTAATCTCACATTTAGTCTGGTTTATCAGGCTATTTCTGTGCCATATTTCCTCTTTTTTGTCATTAGACTGTGGCCATTTCTCAATTCACAAGAACACGATACGGACTCTTACGCATGCTGGAGGTTTCTTCCTGTTCAAAGGGAGTTTTACCTCTGAGGAAAAAAGTCAAAAATTTGAGAGAAAAAAAGTCAGAATTCTGACTTCTATCTCATATTATACTGAAATAAATGTTTTGAATCAGTTAACTTTTTTATTTTGCCATTGGGCCTAATCCTCTACTACGAAAGAGGATTAGGGCCACTGAAAAAAAAAAAAAAGTTAACTGATTTTTTAATTTTATTTCAGTTCAACATGGGAAAAAAGTCAGAATTTAAATTTTTTTCTCAGAATTCTGACTTTAATCTTAGAATTCTGACTTTAATCTCAGAATTCTGACTTTTTTCTCAGAATTCTGACTTTTTTCTCAGAATTCTGACAGCCATAGCCATGTCTGTTTTAGATACTAGCTCTGTTCATTTAATGACCTTCTGCTTCTCCATTAATTCTGAGAATTCTGAGATTAAAGTCAGGATTCTGAGAATAAAAGTCAGAATTCTGAGGAAAAATGTCAGAATTCTGAGATTAAACTCAGAATTCTGAGAAAAAAATTTGAATTCTGACTTTTTTCCCATATTAAACTGAAAGAAAATTTAATTGTTTTTTTTGTTTTTTTTTCAGTGGGCCTAATCCTCCGTTCAAACCATCTTCTAAATTCAAATCATTTTGTTTTTCTTTATTTTGAGAAGGCCGTTATCAGGCTGCAGTAGCCTTGTTTGTCCAGCAGGCGGCAGTAGGGAAGCTTTTAATGAACCAGCAGTCTCTGAAGAAGATCAGTTCTGTGTACCGGAAGAATGGCGCGAGCTGTGTGCGGGGCTGCCATCCTGCGCTGCGGGTTCGGGAGGTAACAGAGGTGATTGAGCGAACAAGCGGTCCTTCTTCATCCGGTGAAGGATCGGATCTGACAGGCGGCCAGCCGTGAGCGCAGAGCGGGATGTCCGGAGGGAAAGGAGCCGCGGACTGTAGAGCTAACCTCCGCCTGAAAGGCAGCGAGCTGCTCCCCGCAGCCCCTGCCCGACGACCCTACCTTCCAGCGGGCAGAATGAGCTCCGCCGCGGCGGGGAGGCTGCTGGAGCGGAGGAAATCTGCTCCTCAGGCGGTCCACCAGCGGCACATGCCGATGGAACCCCAGAAGTTCCACATCCCGAGGAAGACCAAGGAGAAGCGGGGTAAGATGCTCCTCAGAGCTCAGCCTCTGATCGGTTTTATTTTAGTGAGTTTTCTGCCTGTTTCTCTGCTCCATCAGGACTGATGGAAGCTAGCATGCTAACGGCTAATAACATCCTGTTAACCTCCAAACATTTTCCCTTTCAGCTGTTTTCCTTCTCGTTTGATTGATCGGTTATTATTTCATTTGAACATTAAGCTGAGCTTTGGTTTGATGGAAATGTTAGATTTAAATAATAACCGCCTCTTTGTTTACATCTGTCCGATTATTAATGCAGGGTTTCAAACCAACAGAAACTTATTGTTCCTTTCTCTACAGTCATGAAAACGTTTGGGCGCCCCTATTTAATCTTAATTTTTTTAATTTCTAAATATTTGGGTGTTAGCAGCAGCTATTTCAGTCTGATGTATCTGATAACTGATGGACTAATACTGAATATTTCTGTGTTTAGGTTTATTGGACTAACAGAAAATGTGCAGGATGCATTAAAACAAAAGTTGACAGGTGCAAAAATGTGGCCACCTCAGCAAAAAAGAGACATTAATGTTTAGTAGATCCTCCTTTTGCCTCTAGTGGCTTCCTGTAGCTTTGAATGAGTTCCTGGATCCTGGATGAAGGGATTTTCTTCTTTGCAGAACTATTCCAGTTCAGGTTAGTTTGATGGTGGCCGAGCGCAGACAGCCTGCTTCACATCATCCCACAGATGTTCAATGATCCTCAGGTCTGTGGGTTGAAGGGGGTCTGTGGGTTGTCCTTGACCATTCTCACCATTCTTCTTCTCTGCCTCTCTGATATTTTTCTGGGATTAACAGGAACTGTCCCTGTGCTCTTCCATTTCCTTCCTACGTTCCTCATAGTTTAAATCTCAGAGCCAACTTTTTGGATCCTTCCCCTGAATGACCATGTTGAACAAGTTTTTTTTAGGAACCCATGATGAATCTTCAGAGGAGATTCAAACAGTAGAGCATCTACCAACCGGCCTCCTTAAATACCTTTTCTCATGACTGGATACACCTGGCTATGAAGTTCAAATCTTAATGACGTTATCAAACTATTTTTGTATTTCAGTAAGTCAGTGAGAATAGTTCAGGGTATTCAAATCAATAAAATGATTAGGGTTTTTTTTTGTTAGTCCAATAAACCTCAATTCAATACTGAAATATTCCTGTGTCCATCAGGTATAAGATATATCAGACTGAAATAGCTGCTGCAAACACCCAAATATTTAGAAATGAAAATAATTGAGATTTATTTTTATTTAACCTTTATTTTACAGGAAGTCCCTTGAGATAAAATCTCTTTTTCGAGGGAGACCTAGAGATTATTTCCTATGACTGTAGAGCAGCTGCAAGGCTTAATGAGAGATAATAGGCAAATAAGAACCTTGTCCGTTTTAAAAGGAGGAATGGGAGGTGGAGAGAAAATGGATTTTAGGAAAGATATTTCACTCTAAACGATGTTTCAGTACAGTTTATTTCTATAGCTCCAATTCACATCATCTCATCTCAGGTCACTTTACAGTCATTGACTCTTCAGCAATCCCTTCAGCAATCCCTCACACTAAGCATGTTTCAGGTCCCAAGTAGGGGACCGTAGTAACAAGTTTAAAATATCCTGAAAGACAGATGAAATAAAAGGAGACTCACAGCTGCTTTCTATGTTTTCTACCAAATTGCATCTGAGAGCGAGCAGAACTCCGTTCCCATAGCAACTGGAACAAACCTGCGTGTGCCACACAATTATAGCGACAGTGTAAATATATATGTAGATATCATATTTATTTAATAATAACCATATGACCAATGGGGTCTAATGTTTTGGGTGCGCCACACATGTTGTAGCGACAGTGGAGAGGAAAAACTCCCTTTGAACAGGAAGAAACCTCCAGCAGAACCAGGCTCAGTGTGAGCGGCCATCTGCTGAGGCCCACTGGGGTTCAAGGAGACAGAAGCAGACATAGAAAAAGAAGCATAGATACAAAAGGCAGCTGTCAACCAGCTCCACAGGCGGCCCCGTCCAGGAAACACACAGCCAGGCAGACGAGCTCCGAGCCAGCTCCCATGTCAGAGGATGAAGAGAGCACATCCAGTTAGTCACAGTCAGAGAAACAGGAATAAAAACTGAAATCAGGTCTAACTCTATCATCTATAAACATCTTTCTATAAACCGGCTTGTTTTGTTTGTTTGTCTGACTGCCATTGTGGAAAACGACTGGTGAAGATGGAGCAGCTAGTAGAGCGAGGTGTGAGAGAACGCTAGGACCCTTTTTCCACCTGGATCCCCGCTCTTTTTGGCCCTCATGTCCCTCCGTTGTCGCGCAAACTTGCCCCCACTTCCTCGCCCCCTCAGGCGTATCTAGACCCACAGCTAGTTCCTGATTGGCCCTCTGCCGTTGTAGCGTGGAATAACATAGCGCAGAGCACGCTTCAATATTGGGCAGAAATCAAAAATATCTGCGACACACTGCTGCCTCCCAATCTGAGACCCTGGTCTTGAGCCGGAAAAGGGTAGAGTGCCTTCTCCGGGTTGGGGAGGATGTACTGCCCCTAGTGGAGGAGTTTAAGTATATTGGGTTCTTGTTAACAAATGAGGGGAAGATGGAGCGGGAGATCGACAGGCCGGATTGGTGCGGCGTCTGCTGTGAAGCGTGGGCTGTACCGGTCTGCTGAGGTTCAGAGAGAGCTGAGGCAAAAAGCAAAGCTCTCCATTTACCAGTAGATCTATGTTCCTAGCCTCATCTATGGTCGTGAAAGAACAAGATATCAGATCCAAGCGGCTGAAATGAGTTTTCTCCGTAGTGTGTCTGGGCTCTCCCTTAGAGATAGGGGGAGGAGCTCAGTCATCCGGGGAGGACTTAGAGTAGAGCCACTGCTCCTCCTCATCGAGAGGAGCCAGCTGGACAGGACACGCTGGAGGGACATTTATCTGCTGGCCTGGGAGCGCCTTGGGAGTCCCCCGGAGGAGCTGGACCAAGAGGCTGGGGAGAGGGACGTCTGGGCCTCCCTACTGAAGCTGCTACCCCCACGACCCGACCCCGGATAAGAGGAAGAAGATGGATGGATGGATGGATGGATGGATGGAACAATTGGCTAAAATCCACTCAGAGGAAAGGGGGCTTCCTAAACACCCCCCCTCTGATGCTGAAAACTCTCCCTTTAAATGTTTGCTTCTCTGAGCTTCAGCTTGTTATCAGTCAGCCGGTCACTGATGGAAGGAGGCTCCAATCTTTGAGGTTTTTCTTTGTTCAGGATGAAACTCAGCAACCTGCTAACCTGACTTATTCCACCAGAAAGAAAAGTCCTGGTCCAGCCAGAAATCCGTCTAACATCTGAGCACCTCCTTCCTTTTCAGCCCTGTTCCAGTTCGTCTCCACCGAGTCCAGGGAGTACGACGACATGAAGTCCATCTTGACGGCCGGCTACATCGACACCAGCTCCACAGGCTGCTTCGCTTACAGCAATCCCCGGCTAGTTCACAGCGAGCTGCTGGAGAAGGAGGTGAGAGATTTGTGCTTTTTGTTTTACTACTTTAGGTTTTGCTTGGATAATTATAAAACGTTCATGATGAAATCCTCCTTTAGCATCACTGGGTTTACTGAACAGTTCAGTTTTAAACTGTCTGATGTTTCTAATGGACAGTGATGTCCTGCTGATGCTGAAGTAGGGAAGGACCATCAACCCATTTTAGATACTCATTTATAAAGCTGCAAATTGATTAATCTGTTTATTTTTTTATTTTTTTTAAATTAAAGGATTAATAATTGGATAGCCAAAGGTTCCTAAAAGAAGTTTCCAAAAAAGTAATAAAAAAAAACTAAACAAGACAGGTGATTTGATAGGAGCATGAAGGAAGCTGTCTATGTTCAGAAAGAAAAAACCAACCTTAGTGTCATATGGAAATCATATTTAAATGTCAAATCATTCTGGCTTAAACATGTATATAAATGTTCTCTTTATCAGACTATTTTGTCCCAAAAGTTAGAAAATTTCTATTTAAAAAAAAAATCCTGTCATAAAATCGTTTTTTTCCGTTATCTTCTGCAGGCCAGTTAGTTCTACGTCAGCCTGAACACCTAAATTCAGCCAATCATATATCAACGGTCATCTGTCAATCACATGTTTTCAGTCATAGCATCTTGATTCATATGTCGCAGCTAATATACGCAGCGGTTGAAACCAGAATCATTTCCTTTCCCATTGAGTTGCATCCCAGTGTTCACGGGGATGGACGTCTGTGTCTTCAGCAGGCGTAGAGCTAACAGAACTGGCAGCGTTGCGAGGCGAGGGCTCAAACATGTACGGCTGGAAGCCTTCTACACCAAACCAAGCTTCTGCCGCCCTGGCGTCCTCTTCCACAACATCTTCGTCCCCGCTTTCCTCCTCTAAATAAAAATGGATGACGGAGGAGACTCATCCACGACCTCCGACACTAAACTCTCCTCCTCTTGCATGTTTCCTCTGTCCATAGCGTTCCTTGACAGCGTCGTTTCTAAGTCACCAATTTAGTGCTACTTGGTCCCAATGGAATTTCCCATTGGGAACCTGCTAGCAATAAGTTGCTAACTGGTTAGCAAGATGCTTCCCACAAACCAGCAACAACCAAACATGCTTGCAAACCTTCTGCCACAATAATCCCGCCCCCTTGATAATCGACCAATCACATTCACTTTATTCACTGGTGTAAAGTCGGGCACCACTGGGGAGAATTCAGAAATGCAACGATTGGAACAGCCGCTTCCCTACGACTTTAAACTACCTTAAAAGGTGTGTATCCCTTTAGTCATGGACAAAACAACTATTTGACTACTTACTTTTTGGTGGTTTTTGAAGTGTATGTCCATCTGAATTATTTTTGTACGTGACTAAAGGGACCCTTTGTAAACGACCAATCACATTGGGGGGGGGTCAGGTTTCAGCTTTCAAAAACCTACAGTTCAGCGATAGAGTTGATTCCTTCCCGCTATCATCGCATCCCCATCGCTATACAGGAGAACAGAAGACCTCACCTATTCAGCCAGGCCAACTATCCCCTCTAACGACCCCCCTTTCAGAGACATAGACAGGTATGGGGCTTTGCAGGCTAACAAAGAAGCCAAACGACCCCCGTTCCAAAGGGGGGGCCCATTCATCCGTTTCTATTTGCATGTTTTCTAAACTAAAACCAGGCTTTGTTGGGCTGCTGGATAAAACCTGGAACTAAACGCTATTTCTGACATTTGGAATTGAAAAAGCTTCCAGGATGGAAGAGAAACGTCTTTATACTTGGAAACAAAGTCCACTAGGCATTCATATAAATGGTGTAACCGCTTGATGCAACAAGACTGACTGCCGGGCGTGAATTTCATGCTTTACCTGCTAAGAGAAACGATTCCTTGTGTTGCAGTTTGTGGAAAAAAGGAGAGAGATGAAAGCAGATGGAAGGACGGAGAAGGAGCTGGAGGAGAGTCACTGTTTCCTGCTGACCACAGCGACCGAGGTGAGAATGATAGCACGCTGTGTGCAGAGAGAGAAAATGTTTTAAAAGGGTGTCCAGGCGTTAACCAATGTACACTGAGGGGGGGCGAAAGTGGATCGGCACCCGAACCTCAGGGTTAATCTACACTGATCCAACAGGAAAATGAACGAGCAAAACATCCATATTTTCTAAATAAAGACTATCTATACTTTCCTACAGCCTTTGCTAACAAATAGATGCATATATTTAAACATCCATGCTTTTTAGATAAAAGGTATAGAGGATAAAATTCTTTCAGGTTTGAGTTTTGGGGCGAACATCTTTTCCATTTTCATTACTTACCTACTTTGATCAATAATCATTCTGCATAAAATTGATATTTACAAGCACTAATATCTACATTTAATTGATTATTTAATAATCTTTTTATTAAAATAGTTATTTATCTATGATTTCACTGAAGACTCATTGATGACTTGCAGAGATGCATAATTTCCTCTTTACCCCATAAAACACAAAATCTAGATCTGAAAAGAACAGGAACTCTGTATTTATCATCTTTAATGTTAGTATATTGATGTGCATCATTAACTGCAGTGGTTTTGTTAAGTAATTGGTAATATATGAAAAATGAAAAAGTTTTGAATATTCCACTTGAGAGTATTACTGCTGCCATCGTCTGTATTAGAGGGAACAATATGGCAGAGGTGGCCAATGATTGGCTAAGGCTGGCCATGGCCACCCCTGGTCCCCCATCTAGCTCCGCCCCTGCGTGTGTGATGAAGAAAAGAAGGAAATGGTTTTTAAAAAGAAAGAACAGATATTAAAGGAAGGTTTTCCTGATTGGAGCGTTTGACTCTTTCAGCTTCCTGTTGTCTGTGAGAAGGGACTGACCGTCGGTCAGAGCAAAACCACCATGCTGGGAAACCCGAGTAAAGGTAGAAGCTGTGCTCAGAACCTTCTCCTGCAGCCGGCCGGTCAAAGCGCTCCTCACTCACACTGAGCTTGTTGTTGCAGGCGTTTATCTGTCCAGGTACTCGGACCTTCTCCAGACCGGCCCCCTCACACCCGGGGCCACCGGGGAGCTAATCATCTTCAAAGTGATCAAGGTAAACCGGCGTCCAGGAGGTGAACAACCACAGACTTTAATCCCAGAATTCTATTCAGTTTATTTCTATAGCTCCAATTCCCATCATGTCATCTCAGGTCACTTTACAGATTGATTCAAAGTTTTCTATCTAAGGAAAACCAGTTGATTGCATCGACTCATTGACTCTTCAGCAATCCCTCACACTAAGCATGCTTGTAGCGACAGTGGAGAGAAAAAACTCCCTTTGAACAGGAAGAAACCTCCAGCAGAACCAGGCTCAGTGTGAGCGGCCATCTGCTGAGGCCCACTGGGGTTCAAGGAGACAGAAGCAGACATAGAAAAAGAAGCATAGATACAAACATTCTGAGATTAAAGTCAGATTCCTGAGTTCTTTCCTGTTTTAAACTCAAATAAAATAACAAAGCAGTTAACTTTTTAAAATTATTTTCCATTGGCCCTAATCCTCTTCTGTACAGTTAACTTTAGTTAATTTAAACTATGATTTAGTTTAAATTACAATTTTTTTTAATTAAGGCGTTAATTGGCATGAAAAATTAATTAAATCTGATTATTGTAGGATTTAAAATGCTTTATTTAAAAAAGGAAAGAAAAAAAACGGTTGTAAAAACAATTTCGTCACATATATGAGATATAACTGGTTCCGCTGTTTAGGTGAACCTGCTGCCAGTTGATGGTAAAGATGTTCGGAACAGAAGCTAGAGAACGGGGAAATGCTAATTTCAACAAAAGTGGCTTTCAAACGAGGAATGGAGGACGTGGCTGCAGGCTGTCCACGGAAAAGATGACCAAGGATTTTGTCCTGTTTTGTTTTTTAATATGTTTTTTATATATTTTATACAGGGGAAGGTGAAGAGCATCTATGAAAACATGAAGATCCTTCAGGACCCCACGCCTCGCTTTGACAGCCACATCGCCAAGAACGCCAGCAAGGTCACCTCGCTAAGCTGCTACCGCGCCTTCGACCTCACACAGGTGACTTCCACGCATCGACGCAGCAGCGTCCTGCGGCTCTTCCGCAGCAGCCGATGTATAAATGATTGCTTAAGCTGAGGCGTTTTCTGCTCCGCCCACAGCAATACTTCTACGAGTATTTGTTTGACGAGCTGCGGGAGCGGCCGCGGCAGGTGTGTCCCTACGCCGTGGTCTCCTTCCACGTCAAAGGAAAGGACGCGCCGCTCTCCATCAAACCCGCTCCTCCCATCAGGTACCGTCTGATCCCAGTTAGGTGTGTCAGCCGTGATGTGTTTACTGACTGCAGGAAAGGGGAGATTTTTACTGGTGCTCCTAAATGGCTGGGTAGGTGGAGCAGAGAAGGAACCGCGACTTAAATTCTTTCTTCATTGAATTTTCGTTTTAAGTAAAGTTTTTTTTAGTTTGGCTTTGTTTTGTTTTTTCAGACGTCCAAACTATTAAAAACAAAGAATAAGCTGGATTTACGATGTTAATCAGGCTTAGAAAGAGAATGTTTCTGTTTTTTATCGCCTTCTGTTTCATTTTTCTGATTTTTATTTTTTTGTTCCCCCACTGGGTCAGATTGAAAGTGTGAAAGCTTAACCTCTCTGTCCCAGTCTGTGATGTAACTTCCTGTCGGTCTGTTCCGCAGGTCCACCAGTCAGGTGTCAGAGAGGAGCAAAGGTGAGCTCAGGTCACCTGTTTCCACCTGATTTCATTAGAACCTTTCCGTAACAACCCCTGTTGCCCCTCAGAGTCGGCCCAGTTCACCGTTTGGACCGGAGACCTGGTGAAAAACGGGCGGGTTCTCTTCCAAGTCGCCCTGCGCTCCAACGCCACGCCCCGTCTGCCCCACAGGCTGTGAGTCGCACACAGAACACCCTCTACCTTCTGCTCTGCCCTGAAGGAGTCTGTCCTGATGTGATGCCATGCTCCTCTGTTATTTATTCAGCCATTTCTTTCCCACCATGTTCCTCCTTCAGACCCGACAAACTGGACATGGGCTCTGCGATGAGGTACGATGACGTCACCCAGCTGGTTCCGTCCGATCTGTTTTCCTCTAACCTGTACAGCAGCAGTAAAGAAGGTGAGCGCCCGGCGCTGAGGGCCACTCCCATCATCCCTTACCGCCCTCGTTTCTAGCGATGTGTCTCATGTGTGTCTGTAGTGGAGGCGAAGGGCCATTACTGCAGCCTGTTGGAGGTGACCGACCAGAACCGGACCACGGCGAGCGTCACTACGCTGCTACGGGAACTAGAGGCACAAAGACTGGTGGGTTTCTCTCCGTTTAAGACGGCAGAACTACATCAGGAGGTCAAACTCATAGATTTATTCCACATAGAGCAGGCAGATGGCCGCTCATACTGAGCCTGGTTCTGCTGGAGGTTTCTTCCTGTTCAAAGGGAGTTTTTCCTCTCCACTGTCGCTACAAGCATGCTTAGTGTGAGGGATTGCTGAAGAGTCAATGAGTCGATGCAATCAGCTGGTTTTCCTTAGATAGAAAACTTTGAATCAATTTGACTGGATGATCTGGTGAACTGGAAAGTGACCTGAGATGACATGATGTGAATTGGAGCTATAGAAATAAACTGAATAGAACTGAATTGAATAGAGTGAAACACTTCTATCTATCTTTGAGGACTAGGGATAACAGATAATTAAAAAAAGATTACAAAATCAGCATCTCAGAAGATATGAATTTAGTTTAGGACTGATTTAAACCAAGATTTTTGATGTATGAGTGATTGATGGGACGTCCAGAAGACCTTCGTAGAAGAAGTGCTCTGTTAGGAACATAAGGAACAATCAGATCTCTGATATCAGATGGAGCTTGGCCATTTAAGGCTTTATATGTGAGAAGGAGGATTTTAAATTCTATTCTGGATTTAACAGGAAGCCAATGAAGAGAAGCCAGGATAGGAGAGATATGATCTCTCTTTTTAATTTTCATTAGAACTCTGGCTGCAGCATTTTGGATCAGCTGAAGGCTTTTAACTACAGTTTGTGGACTTCCTGATAGTAAAGAATTACAATAGTCCAGCCTTGAAGTAACAAATGCATGGACTAGTTTCTCAGCATCACCCCTGGACAGGAGATTTCTCATTTTTGCAATGTTCCTCAGATGAAAGAAGGAAATTCTAGAAACCTCTTTGATATGGGATTTAAATGACAGGTCCTGATCAAAAATAACACCAAGATTTTTTACTTTATTATCTGAAATCAGTTTAATCCCATCCAAATGAAGTGACTGGCTAATCAGTTTCTTTTTCAGAGACTCTGGTCCAAAGACTATAACTTCTGTTTTGTCTGCATTCAGAAGCAGAAAGTTAAGAGTCATCCAGGTTTTTATGTCTTCAAGACATGCCTGTAATCTATGTAATGGGTTAGCTTCATCTGGATTTATAGACAGATATAGCTGGGTATCATCAGCATAACGGTGGAAATTAATCCCATGCTGTCTAATAATTCTACCAATTGGGAGCATGTATAAAGTAAAGAGAATTGGTCCTAGCACTGATCCCTGTGGTACTCCACAGGTAACCTTTGAGCGTGTTGAAGATCTGTCATTATGGGACGTTCAGACCGAACGCAGCAGAAGATGCAAAAACGCGCGTGCCGCTTCATTTCTGATGCTTGTACCAGTTTAGTTCTGATGTGCTCTGGCTGCGCGGTGGTAAAGTGGGTCTGATGTGCGGTGGGCGGAGCTACTCTATCCTTTCTCTGCCTGGAACAATGGCAGCTATATTAGCTGTGATCAGCGGGTAAAAAGTAGTTAGAATCTATGTTGAAGTGAGAAAGTCCTCCTGAAAACATGGTCTGTGCAGTCAGTTCATCCAGATTACCATCCTGCCTTCAAAGATTATTTCTCTGTGGGAGCCGCTCAGACCCCCACATACCGGCGCTGCGCTGTCACTGGGAATCCCCAGCAGCAGCTGCCTCAGGCCCGGGAGCCTCTTGGGGGTTTCCCCTCCTGTTGGTGGCGGCTGGAAGTAGATGTTAGCGTTTTTCAGGTCTGTGCTACAAACTGCAGGCAGCTGGATAATAAAAGCCAACATATTCTGCCGGCAGGTTTCTACATTTGAAGTTAATTTAGGCGTTAATAAACTGTTTCAGAGGAGTGATCATAGCGCTCTGCATCAGCAGTGCTGCGTCTGACTCCCTGCCAGCTCCCAGATCAGCTTCTCTCATTGGTTGATGCAGCAGCTGCTGCTTCTGAAGCGCCTCAGATGCTCATGAGGCGCTATTGCTCCTGCTGCTGCTCTAGACGCTGCAGGGCCTTTAGCTGCACCCTCATGTGCGTCAATCATTAACTTTGCACGTAAACCAGCTGCTTCTGCTGCTAGCGGTCTGAACGTAGCGTTAACGTGCACAAACTGAAATGGGTCAGATAGATACGATTTAAATCAGTCTAGCTCGGTTCCTTTAATGCTTACAAAATGTTTCTAAAAGGATATGATGTTCCTGGTTTAATGACGTTTTATTAGACTGATGTTCTGTAATGTTCTAGTTTTCTCATTTTATATTAAACAGCCTTGAAAATAACGACCAGAAATCTTTAATTCTGTGTCTGATGGATCTATGAAGGAAATCAGTTCCTGTTGCTGCTTTGATGCCACAGAGCAACACAGAAGGTTTATGTGATGATTTCATTTGATCTGTCACGCTTAAATCTGTCCCCTGTCTCTGGTGAAAATTCTTCTTCAGGTTCTGGTGAAGCGGCTCACAGATAGAGGGTTCCTCTTCCTGCTGTCCAGTGTTCAGATGGCCGCAGCGACGGGTAAGACGCACGCCGACCCCCTCAGAACAGAACCGGGTCTCAGGTCTGAGCTGGGTTATGAGAGAGAAGCAGGTCAGAGAGGTCACAGGGTGCCGACCCGTTAGGAGCCCTGGGGCGGGTACCGCTCCCTTTAGGGCGGGTTTAAAGCTCCAGTCCTCCAGGGTCGGCATCCTGCACCTTCTAGATCCGACTGAATGACCTCGTCAGGATGCGGTTCAGTTCTCCGCTGCTGCGCTGGTTATTGGATTCAGGTTTGTTGAAGCAGTTTAGAGGCTCTGATCAATTCATCATCTGAACGTTGGAGAGAGGATGGACCACCTGCAGGTCCACCACCACATGAAGGTCCTCATAGACCAGCGGTCGGCTACCCGCGGCTCCCTGGAGCTTTTTACAAAAAAATTTTTATTTTTTTATTTTAATGTTCTGTGCAGGAGATCAAACAAACATTCATTATGTTTTCCAATACTATAAGCATTTGTATATTAAATACATTTAAACAATATGTAGACATTTATTTCAACAAAAATGTGCATCAGCCATATAGATCAGAGGTCAAAGTCTGCGACACGTATCTCAGCGCGGCGCCAGACAAACAAAGCGGTGGGTGTGTCTCCATGGATCCCAAAGGGAAAAAAAGGAAGATGGTTGATGAAACAGAGGATTCAGAGAAGAATGGAGACGATCGTTTGCTTTCATTATGAATGCAGAAGGATTGCTTGCATTTTTGCTTTGGTAAAATCTAAATCTCGCCAAGGAACGCTGGTGATGGAGGATGTGGGATTTCAGGGTTAGAGAGCTCTGCTCTGATGATGTCACTTCCTGCTTGCTTCCTCATGACTCTATCAGCTCCTCCCAACAGAAACACGTCCACCATAGAAAGATTCCTTTATCCTGTTTCTATCTGTATTATGAAATTTAGGCAGGATCAGGATGAGTCGGCAATAAAGATGAACACACAAACTGTTTCTGCTAGAATTAAAATGTGTCGTTTTATTCCGCCACAGAAAACAGCAAAGCATATCAATCAAGGCACGGTGCTGAATACAAATTATATTGTCTCAATACAATTTATATTGTCCCCTTACCGTGACACAAGGATCGGAGGGCCGGTCGACTCCGGCAGGGCAGCTAGGCGTCCGTACGCAACCCTAGCAGACCCCGCCAGTGCCAACCGCCATCCGTCATTTATGCCAAACTTCAAAGGAAAATCTTTCACCCAATCAGGAAAAGTGATCGCTCCCTCTCACGCCTGGAGCGCATGATTACAGATACCAAAATATGGAACCGACGTCCCCCAAACCCAGCCAGGGCTCGTGGACAGCCGAAACCAAAAACATTATTACATCATGGTCAGAGCATGGCACCGAGAGCTCGTGAGTACAAAAACAAATGATATCATGCTCTCAAGGAAACAGAAAGTTAGATAATGAGAGTGCTTAGGTTATAAGAGGGCTGATTGTCAAATAACATAAAATATAAAACCCATATATATCACTATCATTTCATCAATGCAACAAAACCTAAACCGCGCGGTGAATGGCGGTGAAGCGGCACGCAGTGAAAGCGTTTTCTGCTCCTCTGTCACCTCATGCTACATTTGCTCCAGAATTAACCTTTAATCATGAATGATTATTATACATTTAGGCCACGTAGTCCTTTATTTGTATTGGTCTAATACACTTAGAGCCCATGTTGCCATACGAGGCTCATAGAAGACTTTTATGTTTTTGCGGCTCCAGACAGATTTGTTTGGTTTTTTTTTTGGCCACTTTGAATGCATCATAAGCCCCTCCTTCAAACAGGATTATTTTCCTTGACGCTACAGCGACCGGCCAACTAAATATGGCCAAAGCAGGTGTTCCAGCTGAGTGATATACGGCAGCGGTTTGGATTTCACGCCGACGACGTCGAACAAAAGGGGCTAATTTGTAAGACGTGTCACAAAAATCGTTGCTGCAAAAGGAAGCAGTATAAATCCATTCCACCGCCTAAAAACTTATCAGCTGCAAAATGAAGAATGTTTTAGACTCTGCATGTCAGCATCTCCCCACATGCCAATTAAAACGTTCAATCAGCTGTGACGCCGATGGCGTTGGCCTCGTCGATTGAAACAGCGATCCCATATGAGAGAAACAGGAAGAGATGGAGGGAAATCACAGACGCTGTTTACGACATTATTTCAATGTTTTTAGATGCTCTAACACCTGTGATGTGATGGTCTGAGGTGTTCAGGCGTTTTCTAAACTTGTCAAATTTACAACTTTTTTCTTTAAAATTCCCAGCAGGCAAAGATCAATGCTAATAGTTTGGAGATGATAATGCTCTAATTTTTGGACAGCATTTCCACTTTTCTTCTTTTAATTTGAGTCAGTTTCTTTTTTCATTATGCATTTTTTAAATTAAGCTCAAAAGAGCCCTTGTTTATTTAGCATTTTATTTAATATTGTGTGTTTTTGCTTTGTTTCCTGTTTGCTTGCTAGGATCTTGTTAATACTGAAACCCAAAGAGCTTTAAGCTACTTAAAATAAAATCTTTTACATTTAAAACCAAAATTTTGTATGAGTTTTTCAGTTTAATTTGATGCACTTTATTGTTTTTTGAAGGTAATTTAAACATATCATGATATATACCATGTATCATGATTATAGCCCACATATATATCATGATATATATCATGTATCACGATTGTGTATCACGAGTATAGCCCACATATATATCATGGTATATATTGTGTATCGCGATTATAGCCCATATATATATCATGATATATATCGTGTATCGCGATTATAGCCCACATACATATATCATGATATATATTGTGTATCGCGATTGTAGCCCACATATATATCATGATATATATCGTGTATCACGATTATAGCCCACATATATATCATGATATATATCATGTATCACGATTGTGTATCGCGATTATAGCCCACATATATATTATGGTATATATTGTGTATCGCGATTATAGCCCACATATATATCATGATATATATCGTGTATCGCGATTATAGCCCACATATATATCATGATATATATCGTGTATCGCGATTATAGCCCACATATATCATGATATATATCATGTATCACGATTGTGTATCGCGATTATAGCCCACATATATATCATGGTATATATTGTGTATTGCGATTATAGCCCACATATATATCATGATATATATTGTGTATCGCGATTGTAACCTAAACATATCATGATATATATTGTGTATCGCGATTGTAACCTAAACATATCATGATATATATTGTGTATCGCGATTGTAACCTAAACATATCATGATATATATTACGTATTGCGATTGTTACCTAAACATATCATGATATATATTGTGTATCGCGATTGTAACCTAAACATATCATGATATATATTGTTTATTGCGATTGTAACCTAAACATATCATGATATATATTACGTATCGCGATTGTAACCTAAACATATCATGATATATATTGTGTATCGCGATTGTAACCTAAACATATCATGATATATATTGTGTATCGCGATTGTAACCTAAACATATCATGATATATATTACGTATCGCAATTGTTACCTAAACATATCATGATATATATTGTGTATCGCGATTGTAACCTAAACATATCATGATATATATTACGTATCGCGATTGTAACCTAAACATATAATGATATATATTGTGTATCGCGATTGTAACCTAAACATATCATGATATATATTGTGTATCGCGATTGTAACCTAAACATATCATGATATATATTGCGTATCGCGACTATAGCCTGAATATATCATTTAGTTTTTCTTCATGTCGCCCAGCCCTTCAGTAGAGACCCAGAGAGATTTCTGAGGCGGGTGGAGTAACGCCTGAACAGGTTCCTTTATAACCTGGTGAACTGAGCCTGGGCTTTAAAAAAGCCAAGACTTTTGAAAAGGGGCTTTGAAACAGAAATGTTTTAGCAGATGTGGATATTTTTCTGTAGGCGTGGATCTGTGACTGACTGATGGGTCTGTGCTTTCAGAGAGAGGAGACACCTGGAAGAGGAGCCTTCAGGCCTTGTTTGTTTTCCCGGAGTCCAGAGACGTGTCCAGATACGGTGAGTGAAGTGATCGCTTCTCCTGGACATGATGGACATGAACAACCTCAATGCTGAGAGAGAAACAACTGGACTTCTGTTGCTTTTCTTCAGAGCTGGAAGTTGTTTTTATTGCCTTGCTTAGCAAATCGGTGATATTTTGGTGCTTTTATTGAAGTTTCTTTCTAAATCCAATTACTGCTCGTCCTCCTGATTGTTTATCTGATGGACATTTTCATTCTGGCTGAATAACTTTCACGCTCTGCAGGACAGACTGACCTGCAATGCACCAAAACAAAAGTGAGGGAGTGTCGGCCTTGAGCAAGGGTCTCACAATGGCAGCCCACTGCTCCCCAATGGGTGGGATGGGTTAAATGCAGAGAAGTAATTTCCCTCTGGGATCATTAGAGTATATATATATTAAAAAAAAGGTGCTAAATGTTACCGTAGCAACATCTCTTTGCATTAATAAATTCATACTTCATTTGAATTTATAATTGGAAACAGATGTAAATTCATACTTCCTATTCATATTGAGTGAATTTTGTTCCATTATTGTTGAAATAATAGAACATGCTTTCAAAGTAAAAAAAAAAAATGGGGGTTAAAAATAAAAAAATCATTGTTTGTAAATGGAAATTAGAAAAAAAATACAATCCAGAAATAAAACTTTGAAAAACTTCTCAATGTTAGAAAGTTTGAGAGAAACTTTTTTCTTCTTCTTTGATTTAATATTTAAAAACATTATTTTCAGATTTTCTTGAAAATTTGTAACATGTTTTAATATATATTTTGAAATTACTTTTTTCAAATTTCCTGTTTTAAGTTTGTTTTTTTATTGTATCCTTTTAAATAGTTTTTTCACATTTTTTTTTTACTTTAAGCCCAAAAGGAATTTCCTAACTTACCCGGATATAAAAATGCTGCTAACATCCAGCAGAGGAAAAAAATTTAGCCCCCAGAATATATTAAAGGCGATTTGAAAAGATTTAATTTTGTAAAACTCAGTCGAAATAGGAGACATTTGAAGATATGAAATCTGTACTAAAAAAAAGTTTATTGGTAGTTTATAATAAAAATGTGTAAAATTTCCATTTACAAAACATTTGTCACTAGCAACAATAATGGCAGAAAATTCACCCCATATTAGCACTTCCTAGTGGTTATGTTCTGGAATCATTTTCTATGCCGTTTTTTGGTTCTTTATTTTTTCCAAGTAACACTGACTGCGTATAAAGAGGCTCTGACTAGGCAGGGTGAGCAGATCTATGCAGATTTTTTTTTCACTTCTGTCTCTGTGCTATAAACTTATTAAATTTCCCACATTTGACTTGGACAAATTGTAAAAAAAATTATTAAAAACATTAAAAAACACTGGCCCCAAGCACCACTTAACAAGTCTGTGCAGCATCTAGAACCAGAACTAACAGATAATGTGCATCTATTGAAAAAATAATGAGTTCTACGTCCAAAGAAAAGAAAAAGGTTTCCATGGTGACTGAGAGGTGATTCCCAGAGAGATCTAGGAAGTTTCTCCAAGTTTTCCTTTCTTTTTTCCATAAAGAGGTGACAGAGAATCGCTGCGGTGACCTGGTCTGTCTGCCCCTCATTAATTTGTTTTTTCTGTGAAGCTCAAAGAGGATCACTACTTTATCCGGTTTCTGTCCTCCTGAACTCCTATCATGGGGAAAGTTTTCTGTTTTAATGTTTCATTCGTTGTTTTTGCTCCAGTCAGTTCTCACTGGAAAAAATCCAAATCTAGATGAGTGCATTTGTTCCTGGATTAAGGAGGTAAGAAACATTTTGCCAATGAAACGAGATAATTTACACTTAAAATAAGAAAACACAATTGAATTATCTCATTTTAAGTGTATATTATCTGATTATCTTATTTTAAGAGGAATAATACTCATTCCATTGGCAAACTGTCTCATTTATCTGTTTAAATTAAGGATAAATACACTTAATTTAAGATATTTCTACTTATTACAGTGCTGCTTATTATACATGCGATGCATGACTCCAAACTGATTCTTTCCTTGTGCGATCCCAATTGGCTTTTAAATGAGCACTAAACGCCACATCCTAATCGGTGCGATTTTCTGCGGTGGGTTTTCTGCGGTGGGTTTTCATGCGGTGGGTTGTGGCTTTCAGCCTATTAGAGCCATGGCATTTGATTGGTCAGAAACGCTGATGAACTGCAGCAATTCAAGGGTTTGGAAACTTTAACCCTGTAATGTCTGAATTGTTCTCCTGCTTTTCCTTCCCTGCAGCGTTCCAGCATTCCTCCTCCTCCCAGCAGTGTGTACCGTCCCCCGCCTCGGTGATGCCTCGGCTCTCCCAGTTTGTCCCAGCTTTGCACTACTCTCTGGTTAAATCCAGAGCCAACCCGCCTCTAAAACTCTCTGCTGGCGTGGAGCTGCAGACACAGGAATACCTGAGCGGCGTGACCCACGGCAGTGTATGCACCACCGCCTCCACAAACTCTCTTCATTTGGTTTCACGTGTCTCTCTATGTCACACACGGTTGCGTTGCGTGTCTGCAGGTCCAGCGGTTCCCCATGGCTGAGTATGATTCTGTTCTGGATGACGAGCCCAAACCATGCCCCCCTCATCTGCGGGCCAACTCAGATGGCTACCTGCGCTCCTACATGTCCAACCCCAGCGTATACCTGCTGTCGGTGGCCATTGCCAGGCAATTGGTGGAGACGCACTGCGGCCCCGAGCAGACCCTGGACAAAGCGTCCACGAAGGAGGACGGCCTGAGGGAGCCAGAAGGACCCAAAACTCAGAAGGTAACATCTGAAATGGCCGTCATCAAAATCCACCCAGGTGTGTAAACATCACAGCCCTATCAGCTCCTGCATCGTTTCCTGCGTTCAATCACCCCACAGATGCAGCAGCTGCTGGACCAGATTTTGACCTTTAAGAACAACGCAGAGGCGGAGGTGAGGAGGGAGGAGGAGGATGTGATCAAGGTACCAGAGAGGAAGAGGAAGCTGGAGCAGAAGATGGCAGAGAGAACGCTGAAATACTTCAAGGCGTCCGTGGAAACAGGAAAGCCCGACAGGATACCAGGTGAGCCCAACTTCTCCAGAGTCGGAACATTTAACACCAGAACTCCCGACGCCGTCACTTTAACCGTTCTGAGATTTTCTCCCACAGCCGTCATTTTGGCGCCTCTATTAGTTGCATTGTAAATTATTGCTACAGTTGATTGACGTTCTGTACCGTTGCCTAGCAACCAACATTGTATCTAGAACAGGGTTCCCGCGGGTCCTTGAAAAGTCTTAAAAGGCATTGAATTATTCAAATTAAAACTAAGGCCTTAATTGGTATTAAAATGTCTTAGATCGGTCTTTCGTAGGTCTTAATTTTTAAAACACCATTAATAGGATTATTTTTATTCGTCCTGATAGCGAACCAATAAAAGCGTTGTTGCTGCCGGGACATTTGATGCTCCATTAACTTTTTGTCTGGAAAATATGAGCAAGTGTAAATGTAACCAAAATTGTCTCCAGCCAAGAGTTTTCTCCATGGCTAAAACCAGGGAACATACATGAGGCTCAGTGGATTTGGAGCAAGAAGTCATTCAAGCTCAGAACGATGGGAATTAAGGCAGTGGAGTCGCACATGCGAAGCACGAAACACAAAGCGTCAAAATGGAGTTACAGAGAAACAGCCGGTATTTCTCAGTTTAGTTCCACCCTTGTCTCTGCAACGCCTCCACTTATCACCAAATCAAACATACTAGGAAAACCATACAAAGAAAAATAGCTGCAAAAAAGACTTAGCACTGGTTATGTTGGGGCTTTAAAACTGATTTGTTTTGTTCCCTGCTAAAACAAAGTTTGTGAATTCAGTTAAATAATTGTTCAAATATATCTGTCATTTGTGTGTTTTTAGCTTTCTTCCTGTTTGGGAAGCTTTTCAAAATCTGAAACATTAGTGCAGTGGTTTATGTTAAAATAAACCTTTGGGTTAAGTTGTTGCAAGCAGGTTTTTCTTGTGTTTCTTGTGAATTTGGTCTTAAATTTTTATTTCAAGTGGCATTAAAATGTCTTAAAAAGTCTTGAATTTAACTTGCCTTATGCTGTAGGAACCCTGTAGAACTCTTTGGCTAATACGGGAGGAAATGGCTCTTAAAAAAAAAAAATCAAACAGTGAAACAGGCTTTAGAAATGCTTCTACATGTGAGAGCGATTCTGGCGGAGAGGGAGAGACCGATGAGGAGGACTGGGCAGGAAGCGGCTCAGACTCTGACAGTGAGTCCGAGGATGATAGCAAACCACAGGAAAACACAGACGCATCAGGGACCCATCTACGGTGGCCGGGAGGTGCAAACCAACATTACCAAATATAAAACACTTTTGCAAGTTCCAAAACAAATGATCATTTCAGAAAACAAATTTACATTTTAAACTTTTATTCAAGGTTTGGATGGCACTTAGACGACCCCCATTCCAAAGGGGGGGACCCGTTCATCCGTTTCTATTTGCATGTTTTCTAAACTAAAACCAGGCTTTGTTGGGCTGCTGGATAAAACCTGGAACTCAACGCTATTTCTGACATTTTCAATTGAAAAAGCTTCCTGGATGGAAGAGAAACGTCTTCAAACTTGAAAACAAAGTCCAGCGGATTGATTTTTAACTTTTTCGGTTTGACTATGACCTGGATGACTGAGAATCTTCTTTTGATCCACAAACAAGGACCTAAAACTCTTTAAAAAAACTCTGAATTGAGCTCGCAGAGGTGGTCCATCATGCAATCACCACAAGCAGCACAATTCTAGAATTTAATTTCAAATGCATAAAAATGAGGCGCAATCAGAATGTCATGGATGGAGATGTTAGTTTACCCAAACAGAAGGAACTTCTGCAGATACTAGAGTCGTATTTCCAGATCAGTGCCTTTGCAAAGCCGACAGACGTTAACCTTTTATTATTCCCTCCTTTTTTTACCATTTTCTTCTGCTTTTATAATGGAAGAAAAATAATCTAATATAAATCTAGAACAGGAGGATTTTTTTATTTAATGAGTTCATTTGGCTGATTATAGTCAGATCTTTTTATAATCCTTTCTCTGCTATAAGTTTGGTTTTATGTGCATTATCACACTATTCTGCACAAAAAAGAAGTCCTTTCTGGAACCAAAATAAGCACACAGAGGAGATGTTCAAGCACAGAGCTCATTTTAAAGCTTCTGGGCATTTTAGGTTTGAGGCTCCAGGATAATTTATGAACCACTTTGATTTATTTATTATTTATTTCAATTAATTCAACTTTAAGTCAGTTTTAGACGGTAGCTATCTATAACCTAGAAGGTTTAGGGCTGATTACAGAGCCCTGAGGATAACATTTATCATCCTTACCTGTTGGAATAAAAGTTCTTAAAATGAGAAGCATTAGATGCAGAAGGTAAAAACAAAACGTGCGTTATCTCCTGTCATTTTTATTCTTTTTTTGTTTTTTTTACAGCATTTCTAAATCCTCTCAGATTTCCTGTTTTATGGTTATTCTCAGGCTGATGTTTTCTGTCTGCTTTTGTTTCTAGTTGGAGGAAACAAAATCTCAGGATCTCCTCTTTCCTTCGCATCTATAATTACCTCGCTGGGTCTGAAGGATGTCGATCTTAGGGAGGAGGGATCCGAAGTAACAGGCAAATTTCTCCGTCAGCTTAAAGGTGACAGAACCGTTCCTCTCTGGTCTTTATTCCTGCACCGTCCTGTCTGACAGCTTCCGCATTTAATAACGGGTGTTACCGCTTCTCTGCAGCCCTGGTTCATTCTGCCAGTCGGAGCCCCTCCGAGGAGCTGGACGAAGGGCTGAAGGAGTCCAGTCCGTTTGGTCGCTTGGCCGTGAAGCTGGGCCTCCCCGCTAACTGTGATGTGGACCTGAGGAAGCAGGAGGAGCTGGAGGTAAAACCAGACGGTTCACATGTTTAGGAATAATAAGACACGTTAGGATATGTTGAAGATCTCTGATGGAAATGTGACTATGAAGGCTGTTAATTAAAGTCGTAGGGAAATCCTATTTAAATGTCAAATCATTCTGGATTAAACATGTATATAAATGTTCTCTTTATCACACCATATTTTCCCAAAAGTTACAAAATTTCTATAAAAAAAAAAAAATCCTGTCTTAAAATCTGTGTTTTTCCCGTTATCTTCTGCAGGCCAGTTAGTTCTACGTCAGCCTGAACACCTAAATTCGGCCAATCATATATCAACGGTCATCTGTCAATCACATGTTTTCAGTCATAGCATCTTGATTCATGTGTCGCAGTAATATACGCAACGGTTGAAATCAGAATCCTTTCCTTTCCCATTGAGTTGCGTCCCAGTGTTCACGGGGATGGACGTCTGTGTCTTCGGCAGGCGTAGAGCTAACAGAACTGGCAGCGTTGCGAGGCAAGGGCTCAAACATGTACGGCTGGAAGCCTTCTACACCAAACCAAGCTTCTGCCGCCCTGGCGTCCTCTTCCACAACATCTTCGTCCCCGCTTTCCTCCTCTAAATAAAAAATGGATGACGGAGGAGACTCATCCACGACCTCCGACACTAAACTCTCCTCCTCTTGCATGTTTCCTCTGTCCATAGCGTTCCTTGACAGCGTCGTTTCTAAGTCACCAACTTAGTGCTACTTGGTCCCAATGGAATTTCCCATTGGGAACCTACTAGCACTAAGTTGCTAACTGGTTAGCAAGATGCTTCCCACAAACCGGCCACAACCAAACTTGCTTGCGAACCTTCCGCCACAACAATCCCGCCCCCTTGATAATCGACCAATCACATTCACTTTATTCACTAATGTAAAGTCGGGCACTACTCGGGAGAATTCAGGAATGCAACGTTTGTAAAGGCAGTTTTCCTACGACTTTAAACTAATTTGTGGGTCTACGTAATATATAGTGGGCTGAGCAATGTTTTTTATCTTTACAGAAGACTCCAAGGTGAACAAACATGCTTCAACTGATTCAGTCCAAATCTGCTTGACTTACAGTCACGATGTGGATCTATAAAGTCTGAGGGTTCATCCAGAGTTTCAAATCGGCTTTCATGGTGTTTTTCAGTGTTTAATTTGGAAACAAATTTGGCGAGGCTAAATTTTTTTCTTTTTTTTCTTTGTTTAATCACCTTTAAATCACACATGTTAACATTTAAAATAATGGTTCCACCTGAAAAATATTCCTCAATGCCTTTCTGTTATACAAACACAAACAATTGTATTTACAATTTATAGTAAGAACCTCAGGGCTTAAGGGGTTAACTTAGAAAACGTAAAGGATAATTATCTGGTGCAATAACAACGTTTTTATTAATTATTTTTTTATGAAATACTTGGAGCAGTGAGGATGTTGAAGCTTCACTAAGATGCTTCTTCAGCTGCGTGTTTATGTTTTGTCCTGCAGCCCAGCTGAATCTCCATGCTAAAATAAACATCTGACCGTTTTCTGCCTTCATTTGATTAGTGCTTCATGGTTTGGAGACGATAATGAGCCTTCAGTTTCTGCAACAGCAAGAAGATGTTTCTCTTATCTTTTTTTTTTAAACAAACTGGCAGCTGCAGAAATCTCCAATAATCTCTGTTGCGTGTCTGTCTGCGTGTCCGTAGGAGCAGACGGCAGGCAGCGTCAGCAGTTTGGAGGGATTCAGTCCCGGCTCACACAGCGGTGAGCAGAATCACCACGCTGGACGAGGAGCGAAGCTTGGGACGAAGGCGGCGGCTCACGACGAGCAGGAGGAGGAAGACTGGGATATCCCATGGGTCCTTATTCCCATAACAGGTCCGTCTGCTCACCCAAACACTTCCACACCTGCTGCAGACAGACACTTCAGTCCATCAGGGATTTCTCCTTAGACTCTAAAACGAATCATTTCCTCCTGATTAATCGGCTTCCTAGACGCTGGGCATGGAAACTATTCACCGTTTTATACTTTTACACTTTAGTTTTTAATCGGACCTTTCAGATCCTTAAAGGGACCTTTTTTTTTTTTACGTATGATTCCATTTTATTTCTTCCTTAGCTGCAAGGAGAGATAAAATACGAAGTAAATACAGGGTGAGGGTCGCCAATATCGATATGATACCGATACTTTTTACAATTAAACTGGATCTGTTATGAAACTGTAGACCTTTTTGTGTTTTTGTTATTTTTATTTTATTGTTACAATTGAGTAACAGTAATATTAATTATGTTCTGTTCATGATTTTTTTCTTAATCCACCCTTTTATATAATATGTTTCAAACTTTATGTGATTTGTTTCTATTGTGTGCACTTGCCTGTTGCTTTAATTCTATAAATGTTCACATTGTGGGATAAATAAAAGATTAGTTAATAGGAGTGAAGAAAAAAAATTGCGTTTCTAACATTTAAAGATTCAGAATCGATTCTCGTTTTCTTTAAAAACTATTTTTTTTGTGGGTGCGCATGTGCCTTATCAGGCACCGTAGTGTTTGGCGGAACCAATGAGCAGCGTCAGCTTTGCACAGGCATGCTAGCGTTAGCCTAGCAGGCTACACAGTGGTGGGAAGTGTAGTGTTGTGTTTTGTGAGGTACTGTGTTTGTTGCCGCTAAAGTATGGAGGACGAAGAAAAAGAAATTCAACCGCCTCCGCGATCTTTAAAAGCAACCATTTGAAAACACCTTGGATTTTACCTTCAACCCGGTAAGAACGGGCTTGACATGACTCATGCGATTTGCAGAGATTGCAACGGTAAAGTTAAATATTTCGGGAGTACTTCAAATCCACGCTCTCGTCACGAAGGACATCACCCAGAGTTCGTTTTGAATCCTAAATTAATTGTTTCTGAATCGAATCGTTTGGATTTAAAAGAATCGGAAAAAAATCGAATTCTGAGCCCAAGTCAGGGGGGGGGGGGGGGGGGGGGGGGGGAATGAACGGTTGTGGATGATGATGCGGAGAGTGGTATCTATGTTTAACCATCCTGAAAAGATTGTGTTTTTAAGGTGGGGAAAGATCGCTAGATGCGCCACCATCCATGTTTACTTCCGTAAACACAGAGCAGGCCGGTCTGTGACATCATTGCGTCCTCTACTGCGCATGCGGGACACTTACGTTGTACGAATGAAGTTCACACAGGAGATAACATACATGTCGCATATATTTAGAAATGTGAACGACAAAGCAAAAAAAAATATTTTGGATTTTACCAAAAAAAATCAGAATTGAGCATCAAGGCCTGCAGCCATAGATAAAATGCAGGGTTCGTACAGGTGCTGGAAATACTTGAAAATGCTTGAAATTGTAACTATTTCTTTCGCAACAAATCCCTATCTAACTGAATCGTGTGTTTATTAAATGGAGAAATAAAATGTTGGAGAGCCCGAAAATGAAAGCTGCTAGCTTATGTGTGACTGCGATCTGCCAGTCTATTTCCATGTGTGACTCCGCCCCCATGAAACCACTACGGCACCAAGCCGGGAGGTTGTCGTTTTAATTAACGTTGGCTGGAAGATAAAAAAAAATACAAATTATGGATTAAATGGGGACAAACCCCACGAGTTGCCTCTTGTAACGTCTGCAAAAAAGTTGTCCAGCTTTTCACAATGGGCGAGTCTGCGCTCTCAAGTCACATGAAGGGTAAGTCATAGACTTTTAAGTAAGCCAACTGAAGTAGCCTAGTACACGTTAACGTTAGCGCCTATTTGTTTACGCTAGTAACTGCTAGCTAGGAATTCACAGGCTAAGTTTATGAGTGACTGAGAGTACAGTGTGATAATGTAATGTTAGTATTGCAGTGTTTCCCGCAGCACTATCTTGGCTAGGCGGCCGCCTCGCCAAACTCACGCTACCGCCTCGCCAACGGTCCAAAAAAAAAAAAAAAAACGAAGTTTTAATTCATTGCCAGGCCCAGACCTTAAAACAGCATTGATAACTCTACGGCTGATAATACTAAATTGCGACACCCTCTGGTTGGTTATAGTAATTTAACTTTATGAGTGGGCTCCACTAACATATAATATCTACTTTGAAAGTTAATATGAAGGTGATCACTTCTCTACCTGGATATTCTGGAGGTCTGGAACGCCTCTATCAGTGACGTCTATCTCAGGGTGAATGAGTGAAGTTTCCTCTCCTCTCTCTGTTTCTTTACCTTTACATTCATGGTTTTCGTGTGCATATTTAAACTTGTTGTGTGTCCACTGCATTTTTACAAACCATACCACTCGCCGTTGTTTCTTTTACGTCATCTTTTTCTGCTCCGGCGTCTGAGGAGCCGCAGCGCTGTTTGTTTGTGTGTTGAGTGGAGAGAGAGCTGAGTGGGCGGGGCCTGACTGCGTCTGCTGAGCCGGTGATGGAAGGGGAGGGGGGAACAGCAAAGTACTGTAACACAGACGGGGAGACTGGTGAATCTGCTGCAGTTAGTGCGTGTGGGAGGGAGTAAAAAGTACTGATCTTGTTAAATGACTGTTGCTCAATATCAGAAACAGCGTTGGTATCGATGGTATCGATCCGCCCTCTGATTGGCGCTGCCCTGATCACCACTGCTTCTCATTAAAGTGATACTTGAAGAACAGTGGTTCTGTAGCTTAGCTTGGGGTCATTTTTCATCAGAAGGTGTCTCAGACAGATTTTAGATGCATGGCGATATCCATATCGCATCAGGACTTCGCTTCTAGGAGGTACGTCTGGAGCTGGAACCTCCCCAATCTAGAATCAGCCATACCTTATTCCCCAGGTGTCCCACATAGATGCAGGTATATGTGTGTTAGCAGCTACAGACATGCACATGGCCATGGAGCCGTCCCCTGGGGAGGGGAATAGGATCAAGGTCAGTTCAGTTCATACAGCAGATGTTGCAGGGCGTAAAAGTTTCTTCAACTTTTACATCTTAATTGAAATATTAATGTAATGGAAGCATCCAGCAATAAAATGACAACTCATTAACTGTCCTGTCAGACACATCAGTGCAGAAAGCGTCAGTGGGGATGAGGGCAGGGTCAGGCTGCAGGAAGCGGTTTGTTCAGAAATCCAAGCAACTTCTGGAAAGGAGGGAAAATATAAAGATGCACGTCAGGTTTTAAATCTTGCTCGAGTAAAAATAATCTGGTTTGGATGCAAAGTGATTGCTGTTTCTTCTTCTAGGGTTTGGATGCAAAGTGGTTGCTGCTTCTTCTTCTGGGGTTTGGATGCAGAGTGGTTGCTGCTTCTTATTCTGGGGTTTGGATGCAGAGTGGTTGCTGCTTCTTCTTTTAGGGTTTGGATGCCGAGTGGTTGCTGCTTCTTCTTCTAGGGTTTGGATGCAGAGTGGTTGCTGCTTCTTATTCTGGGGTTTGGATGCAGAGTGGTTGCTGCTGCTTCTTCTGGGGTTTGGATGCAGTGTGGTTGCTGCTTCTTATTCTGGGGTTTGGATGCAGAGTGGTTGCTGCTTCTTCTTCTGGGGTTTGGATGCAGAGTGGTTGCTGCTTCTTCTTCTGGGGTTTGGATGCAGAGTGGTTGCTGCTTCTTCTTCTTCTGGGGTTTGGATGCAGAGTGGTTGCTGCTTCTTCTTCTGGGGTTTGGGTGCAGAGTGGTTGCTGCTTCTTCTTCTGGGGTTTGGATGCAGAGTGGTTGCTGCTTCTTCTTCTGGGGTTTGGATGCAGAGGGGTTGCTGCTTCTTCTTCTGGGGTTTGGATGCAGAGTGGTTGCTGCTTCTTCTTCTGGGGTTTGGATGCAGAGTGGTTGCTGCTTCTTCTTCTTCTGGGGTTTGGATGCAGAGTGGTTGCTGCTTCTTCTTCTGGGGTTTGGATGCAGAGTGGTTGCTGCTTCTTCTTCTGGGGTTTGGATGCAGAGTGGTTGCTGCTTCTTCTTCTGGGGTTTGGATGCAGAGGGGTTGCTGCTTCTTCTTCTGGGGTTTGGATGCAGAGTGGTTGCTGCTTCTTCTTCTGGGGTTTGGATGCAGAGTGGTTGCTGCTTCTTCTTCTTCTGGGGTTTGGATGCAGAGTGGTTGCTTCTTCTTCTTCTGGGGTTTGGATGCAGAGTGGTTGCTGCTTCTTCTTCTGGGGTTTGGATGCAGAGTGGTTGCTGCTTCTTCTTCTGGGGTTTGGATGCAGAGGGGTTGCTGCTTCTTCTTCTGGGGTTTGGATGCAGAGTGGTTGCTGCTTCTTCTTCTGGGGTTTGGATGCAGAGTGGTTGCTGCTTCTTCTTCTTCTGGGGTTTGGATGCAGAGTGGTTGCTGCTTCTTCTTCTGGGGTTTGGATGCAGAGTGGTTGCTGCTTCTTCTTCTGGGGTTTGGATGCAGAGTGGTTGCTGCTTCTTCTTCTGGGGTTTGGATGCAGAGTGGTTGCTGCTTCTTCTGGGGTTTGGATGCAGAGTGGTTGTTGCTTCTTCTTTTAGGGTTTGGATGCAGAGTGGTTGCTGCTTCTTCTTCTGGGGTTTGGATGCAGAGTGGTTGCTGCTTCTTCTTCTGGGGTTTGAATGCAGAGTGGTTGCTGCTTCTTCTTCTAGGGTTTGGATGCAGAGTGGTTGCTGCTTCTTCTTCTAGGGTTTGGATGCAGAGTGGTTGCTGCTTCTTATTCTGGGGTTTGGATGCAGAGTGGTTGCTGCTTCTTATTCTGGGGTTTGGATGCAGAGTGGTTGTTGCTTCTTATTCTGGGGTTTGGATGCAGAGTGGTTGTTGCTTCTTCTTTTAGGGTTTGGATGCCGAGTGGTTGCTGCTTCTTCTTCTAGGGTTTGGATGCAGAGTGGTTGCTGCTTCTTCTTCTAGGGTTTGGATGCAGAGTGGTTGCTGCTTCTTATTCTGGGGTTTGGATGCAGAGTGGTTGCTGCTGCTTCTTCTTCTGGGGTTTGGATGCAGAGTGGTTGCTGCTTCTTCTGGGGTTTGGATGCAGTGTGGTTGCTGCTTCTTCTTCTGGGGTTTGGATGCAGAGTGGTTGTTGCTTCTTATTCTGGGGTTTGGATGCAGAGTGGTTGTTGCTTCTTCTTTTAGGGTTTGGATGCCGAGTGGTTGCTGCTTCTTCTTCTAGGGTTTGGATGCAGAGTGGTTGCTGCTTCTTATTCTGGGGTTTGGATGCAGAGTGGTTGCTGCTGCTTCTTCTGGGGTTTGGATGCAGTGTGGTTGCTGCTTCTTATTCTGGGGTTTGGATGCAGAGTGGTTGCTGCTTCTTCTTCTGGGGTTTGGATGCAGAGTGGTTGCTGCTTCTTCTTCTGGGGTTTGGATGCAGAGTGGTTGCTGCTTCTTCTTCTTCTGGGGTTTGGATGCAGAGTGGTTGCTGCTTCTTCTTCTGGGGTTTGGGTGCAGAGTGGTTGCTGCTTCTTCTTCTGGGGTTTGGATGCAGAGTGGTTGCTGCTTCTTCTTCTGGGGTTTGGATGCAGAGGGGTTGCTGCTTCTTCTTCTGGGGTTTGGATGCAGAGTGGTTGCTGCTTCTTCTGGGGTTTGGATGCAGAGTGGTTGCTGCTTCTTCTTCTTCTGGGGTTTGGATGCAGAGTGGTTGCTGCTTCTTCTTCTGGGGTTTGGATGCAGAGTGGTTGCTGCTTCTTCTTCTGGGGTTTGGATGCAGAGTGGTTGCTGCTTCTTCTTCTGGGGTTTGGATGCAGAGGGGTTGCTGCTTCTTCTTCTGGGGTTTGGATGCAGAGTGGTTGCTGCTTCTTCTTCTGGGGTTTGGATGCAGAGTGGTTGCTGCTTCTTCTTCTTCTGGGGTTTGGATGCAGAGTGGTTGCTTCTTCTTCTTCTGGGGTTTGGATGCAGAGTGGTTGCTGCTTCTTCTTCTGGGGTTTGGATGCAGAGTGGTTGCTGCTTCTTCTTCTGGGGTTTGGATGCAGAGGGGTTGCTGCTTCTTCTTCTGGGGTTTGGATGCAGAGTGGTTGCTGCTTCTTCTTCTGGGGTTTGGATGCAGAGTGGTTGCTGCTTCTTCTTCTTCTGGGGTTTGGATGCAGAGTGGTTGCTGCTTCTTCTTCTGGGGTTTGGATGCAGAGTGGTTGCTGCTTCTTCTTCTGGGGTTTGGATGCAGAGTGGTTGCTGCTTCTTCTTCTGGGGTTTGGATGCAGAGTGGTTGCTGCTTCTTCTGGGGTTTGGATGCAGAGTGGTTGTTGCTTCTTCTTTTAGGGTTTGGATGCAGAGTGGTTGCTGCTTCTTCTTCTGGGGTTTGGATGCAGAGTGGTTGCTGCTTCTTCTTCTGGGGTTTGAATGCAGAGTGGTTGCTGCTTCTTCTTCTAGGGTTTGGATGCAGAGTGGTTGCTGCTTCTTCTTCTAGGGTTTGGATGCAGAGTGGTTGCTGCTTCTTATTCTGGGGTTTGGATGCAGAGTGGTTGCTGCTTCTTATTCTGGGGTTTGGATGCAGAGTGGTTGTTGCTTCTTATTCTGGGGTTTGGATGCAGAGTGGTTGTTGCTTCTTCTTTTAGGGTTTGGATGCCGAGTGGTTGCTGCTTCTTCTTCTAGGGTTTGGATGCAGAGTGGTTGCTGCTTCTTCTTCTAGGGTTTGGATGCAGAGTGGTTGCTGCTTCTTATTCTGGGGTTTGGATGCAGAGTGGTTGCTGCTGCTTCTTCTTCTGGGGTTTGGATGCAGAGTGGTTGCTGCTTCTTCTGGGGTTTGGATGCAGTGTGGTTGCTGCTTCTTCTTCTGGGGTTTGGATGCAGAGTGGTTGCTGCTTCTTATTCTGGGGTTTGGATGCAGAGTGGTTGCTGCTTCTTCTTCTGGGGTTTGGATGCAGAGTGGTTGCTGCTTCTTATTCTGGGGTTTGGATGCAGAGTGGTTGCTGCTGCTTCTTCTGGGGTTTGGATGCAGAGTGGTTGATGCTTCTTCTTCTAGGGTTTGGATGCAGAGTGGTTGCTGCTTCTTATTCTGGGGTTTGGATGCAGAGTGGTTGCTGCTGCTTCTTCTGGGGTTTGGATGCAGTGTGGTTGCTGCTTCTTATTCTGGGGTTTGGATGCAGAGTGGTTGCTGCTTCTTCTTCTGGGGTTTGGATGCAGAGTGGTTGCTGCTGCTTCTTCTGGGGTTTGGATGCAGTGTGGTTGCTGCTTCTTATTCTGGGGTTTGGATGCAGAGTGGTTGTTGCTTCTTTTAGGGTTTGGATGCAGAGTGGTTGCTGCTTCTTCTTCTGGGGTTTGGATGCAGAGTGGTTGCTGCTTCTTCTTCTGGGGTTTGGATGCAGAGTGGTTGCTGCTTCTTCTTCTGGGGTTTGGATGCAGAGTGGTTGCTGCTGCTTCTTCTGGGGTTTGGATGCAGTGTGGTTGCTGCTTCTTATTCTGGGGTTTGGATGCAGAGTGGTTGTTGCTTCTTCTTTTAGGGTTTGGATGCAGAGTGGTTGCTGCTTCTTCTTCTGGGGTTTGGATGCAGAGTGGTTGCTGCTTCTTCTTCTGGGGTTTGGATGCAGAGTGGTTGCTGCTGCTTCTTCTGGGGTTTGGATGCAGTGTGGTTGCTGCTTCTTATTCTGGGGTTTGGATGCAGAGTGGTTGTTGCTTCTTCTTTTAGGGTTTGGATGCAGAGTGGTTGCTGCTTCTTATTCTGGGGTTTGGATGCAGAGTGGTTGCTGCTGCTTCTTCTGGGGTTTTGCTGTAGTTTGGATCTAAGGAGTTTCTGTCTCGCTACAGGTCTTTGCTCAGAGAGGTACTCGCAGCGGGACGCCAACATCCCACAGGACCCTCGCTTCCAGCAGCTCGACTCCACCGCGGGCATCACCATGGCAACCAAATCGCCCAGGAGGAGCCCCGCCTTGTCTCCCGAGCAAAGCCCCCCTCTGCCGTACCCGTCCCCAGAAGCCAGCCCCCCTCCCTCCCCCTTTCAGTGCTCCTCGCCCATCCCCAGCCCGCCAAACTCGCCCTCTCAGTGCCCCTCTCCTGAGCTCAGTCTGCCGCCGTCACCATCTCAGTGCCCGTCCCCGGAGCCCAGCCCGCCTTCGTCTCCCTTTCACTGCCCCTCTCCCCAATCCAGCCCCCCCACTTCTCCCGCCCAGTCCGCACCACCTGAGACTCAGCCGCCTCAGCCCCCCTCCCAGTGTCGGTCTGCGGCTAATGATGGTGAGCCAGCTAACGAGCAGCAGCTTGCCCCCCAGGAGGTTCCAGGTAACAGCGTGTAAAATGAGAAGGTCTCAGCTGCTAATCAGTCTAACCATGTTAGACTTTATTCAGACTTCCAGAAAACTAGCTGTTTACTCTGTATAACTGAACTAAATCTATTCTTTCATAAAGTAGGCGCCATGACAATGAAGGAAAGTATCATCTGATCATGTGAGGTGCAGCACTTTCCTCTTTAATTGACCGCATATTAAACAGGGAACATGAATCCAGTGGTTTCATCAAAATCTGCTGTTTGCTGAATTTCTACCAAAGAATAAATCGGAGAAAACACAGTTTTAGACTGGAAACATAAAAAAAGGCAAATCATCATCATCTCAGAAACCCAGACAGGCTTCATACTGGCCCTACATGGCAAATTCCATTCTACTGCTTTTTGCACCATATCTATGTATTTATTGTTTGCACTGCTTAGAAACCTCCACATCAATGCACCATGTCTCTCCTACACTGTTTACATTTTGATCACTGCTGCACTTTATACAATGAAATGTTCATTTTGTTCACTGTGGAAAAGCTCTATAGATTCATTTTGTAAACACTCTGTGTATACAAAACAACAGTAAAATTTGTCAAAGTCTAAGGACGCCTTAAATAAGCAAACAGGCTGACCAGAGAATATTTCTGGACTTTGGGGGTTTATGAGACGCAGCAGCCGACAAAATAAAGGGTGAGAAATCCTTTGGAGAGGAAAGAAAGAGAAAATGAGATTCAGATTGAGACAAAAACTCAGTTGATCAATTTGTTCGAGGCGTTTAATCTGTGGTACGACCTCAAAAGAAAACTGATGCGGGAGCTCGCAGTGATGTTTTCGGACTTGTAGGTACCGAATGTTTTATTCTATGGAACTACATTGGGGCAATAAAGTTTGGGGTTTTTTTTTTACCGAAAAACAGTCATTTGTAACGTAGGACAAAAGATTTAAAATGAAAGTAGATCTTTAAAAATTTCAAGATTCAATTTTTTTTTTTAAAGTTTTAGATATTTTTTTGTTTTTGTTTAAAAGTGCTGTTCTCTCAGTGAGGGGGGCGGGCCTTAGATGACGTGGTGTGAAATAAAGTGTGGCGGCTTAGATGTTTGGAAAAAATAGTTCCTCCTGTTGCCTTTTTTGGGGCCGTCTGAACATCCACTCAGTGCCGCTGTTTTCATTTCAAAAACTTTTTTGATCGACTGTTTCAAAGTTTTATTTTCATCAGTGTCAAAAATACTTTTTTTTTTTTTTTTTTCAGTTTCAATTTTTATTTTCAGTTTTAACTGTTTTCTACGGAGGAGGATTAGGGCGATTGAAAAAATAAAAAAACAAACTGATTTTTAAATTTTATTTCAGTTTAACCTTTTGATATGGGGGAAAAAACTCAGAATTCTGACTTTTTTACCTTATTAAACTGAAATAAATTCTAAAAATCAGTTAATAATTTTTTATTTTTTTCCGTGGCCCTAATCTTCTTCCGTAGTTTTCCATTCCTTTTTTTTTTTTTTTTTTTTTTTTTTTTTTTTAGCAGACTTTCAAACTCGGATTTAGCTCTATATATTAAACATAAAATTCTATTCTATTCAGTTTATTTCTATAGCTCAATTCAAACTGAAACCAAAAAAAGCCAACTTGGATGGAATAATTTCATTTTTAACGAACTTTCAGAAGTGGGAATTGTGAGTATGAGCGGACTTTTCCTTTAAACCCTGAAACTCTGACCTCCTTATTTATTTGCTCACTAAATAAGCCATAGAAAGGCAGGTTGAAGTTATTTTTGTTAATTTTCATGGAGACGTTTTTGGCCCACATGATTAAAGGTTTGGTCCGGTCCGTTCTGGTCGAGTTCCACCCCTCCATTTGCACCGAGTGTGATCTATAGGTGTTCACGCTGCTTAAACTTTTCCTTATTGATGCGTCACAGGATGAAAGGAAAATCAGGCGCCGTAGATCCACAGCAGGCAGATCCTCTGCTGTTCTTCCTCAGTGGCCATCTCTATACTCATTCAGGAGAAACCATGTCCTGTATTTATGGAACCATTATTTATCCTGCATTTGCTGCTATTGCACTTATGGTCAGACCTGAACTGCATTTAGTTGCCTTGTACCTGTGCAATGACAATAAAGTTTAATCTAATCTAATGTAAAACATGATCTGTTGCTTTCAGGGGAGTCCGGAGAGAAGGAAACCAGCCTTCAGAGGACGGAGATGACGACCCAAGAAACCCCAAGAGCCCCCCCTCAAGCTCCGGCTCTAAAGTCTTCACTCCCTCACTGTGAGGAGACGGAGCGAGAAGCAAAGATGGAGGGACTGAAGGTTGAACGGATGAGTTCTGGGGAGAAGCAGCAGAAAGGAGACAGGAAGTCAGTGGAAGAAATGGAGACAGCCGGTGAGCAGGTGGACGAGCCGTCCTCCTCCAGAGCTGCCTGTCCCAGCAGAGATGTCGACAGCGTTGTGGACAAAAACCTCGAGGCCTTTTCCTCTGACCTGCAGCTCCTCCTGCAGGATGAAGGTGTGAACTACAGCTTCCCTCAGCTCTCACACTGCGCTCTGACCACGCAGGCTGACCGCAGCGTGCTCCCGTACGCGGCGCTGCCTCAGTTTTCACCCTACGTGTCTTTTTACAACCACTACCCCCCTGTCAGCGACTACGTCAGCTCGCTGAGTGACGGCATCGCCCGCCTGCTGGCCCAGTTGGACACGCGCTGGTCGAGGCCAACGGCTGGCGGTCGGACTCCTGTTGACTCCTCGTTGGCCAACACCGTCAGCGACTTTGTGGCCAGCGTCAGAGCAGGTCAGGGGTCATCGGGTGGAGCTGACGACGCCTCGCCTCTCTGCAGCCAGCGGACGGCTGCCGAAGCGCCGCTGGCTGAAGGTCCGCCACCGTCCACAGCGGAGGCGGACTGGGAAGCTAACTCTACCGACTGGAGGAACCAGTTGACGGCAGGCGTCACACATACTCAGGACGCCGCCGCTGAGAGGACTGCGCTCTGCACAGCTCCTTTAGAAGCTGAAGGAGGTCAGGCGGTGCTGAGCTGCACTGGAACGGTCCCGGTCCAGAGCTTTGGTTCTGAAACCTTCGACCCCGCCCCCGGTGCGAGCTCTGCGGCCGTCCCATCAACCACCCACATAAACTCAGTGATCGACCAGCTGGAGCCCAACGTGTTGAACAACCTGGCGGAGATCATCAAAGACATCAAGAAGAAGTCGCCGCAGTTCTACGTCCACTGCACAGAACCAGGAGACCCGGTGTACGAGGAGGTCCAGGTGAGGAACGTCACTGTGCCTCCTAGTCGTGGCCAGTCAGACGGCGGCATGGTGACTCTGAGATGTTTGTTTGATCTGCAGGAGCATCTGTTAAACCTGGGGAACGTCCATCAGAGCCCGGTGGACTTCCTGCACCAGGACAACACAGAACACGGTCTGCTGGTCATCATCAAGAACAAGGACATAGCTGGACACATTCATCAGGTACTTTTAGTCTCATCTGGAGGCCCTGGTCCAGATGCTGAAGGTCCAAGGAGACAAACCCATCTGAGCTCATGGCTAAAGAAGCTGGCTGTCCACAGGCTGCAGCAAATCAGGAAAGTTGAGTGGAAGGATAACCTGTAGTCAAAATAGGCCTTGATGCAGCTCTATTTGCCATCCGTCGACACCAGGTTCAAAAGCCTCTTAGTTTTAACTAACTCTTTTTTTATTTTCCCTATTAGTTCTGGTTCTGAATATTTAGATATATGAAAATTAGTTATTTACTCTTTATGCTTAAAGCAGCTTTTTAACGTTTCATAATTTCACCTGCAAATCTTTTCTCAAAGCAGAAAAGGCAATGATCGACTTCAATTAAAACTCAATGGGAGGTGTGGCCAGCAGGGGGAGCCAGAGAGGTTAACAGTTAATGGTTAATGGTGTTCTGGACCCGTTAAAGCCTCCAATATTTTCATTATTCGTATCAAAGGCTCCAGAACGGCCACAGGCCTCCTCGCAGTTTAGTCCCTCCCACTTTCAGGCCACGCCTCCTCGCCACAGGTTTAGTCCCTCCTTCTTTCAGGCTACGCCTCCTCGCTCCTTCTATCAGGCCCCGCCTCCTCGCCACAGGTTTAGTCCCTCCTTCTTTCAGGCTACGCCTCCTCGCTCCTTCTATCAGGCCCCGCCTCCTCGCCACAGGTTTAGTCCCTCCTTCTTTCAGGCTACGCCTCCTCTCTCCTTCTATCAGGCCCCGCCTCCTCGCCACAGGTTTAGTCCCTCCTTCTTTCAGGCTACGCCTCCTCGCTCCTATCAGGCCCCGCCTCCTCGCCACAGGTTTAGTCCCTCCCACATTCAGGCCCCGCCTCCTGGCCAGAGGTTTAGTCCCTCCTTCTTTAAGGCTATGCCTCCTCGCCCCTTCTATCAGGCCCCGCCTCCTCGCCACAGGTTTAGTCCCTCCTTCTTTAAGGCTACGCCTCCTCGCCACAGGTTTAGTCCCTCCTTCTTTAAGGCTACGCCTCCTCGCCACAAGTTTAGTCCCTCCTTCTTTCAGGCTATGCCTCCTCGCCACAAGTTTAGTCCCTCCTTCTTTCAGGCTATGCCTCCTCGCCACAGGTTTAGTCCCTCCTTCTTTAAGGCTACGCCTCCTCGCCACAGGTTTAGTCCCTCCTTCTTTAAGGCTACGCCTCCTCGCCACAGGTTTAGTCCCTCCTTCTTTAAGGCTACGCCTCCTCGCTCCTTCTTTCAGGCTATGCCTCCTCGCCACAGGTTTAGTCCCTCCTTCTTTAAGGCTACGCCTCCTCGCCACAGGTTTAGTCCCTCCTTCTTTAAGGCTACGCCTCCTCGCCACAAGTTTAGTCCCTCCTTCTTTCAGGCTATGCCTCCTCGCCACAGGTTTAGTCCCTCCTTCTTTAAGGCTACGCCTCCTCGCCACAGGTTTAGTCCCTCCTTCTTTAAGGCTACGCCTCCTCGCCACAGGTTTAGTCCCTCCTTCTTTAAGGCTACGCCTCCTCGCTCCTTCTTTCAGGCTATGCCTCCTCGCCACAGGTTTAGTCCCTCCTTCTTTAAGGCTACGCCTCCTCGCCACAGGTTTAGTCCCTCCTTCTTTAAGGCTACGCCTCCTCGCCACAGGTTTAGTCCCTCCTTCTTTAAGGCTACGCCTCCTCGCTCCTTCTTTCAGGCTATGCCTCCTCGCCACAGGTTTAGTCCCTCCTTCTTTAAGGCTACGCCTCCTCGCCACAGGTTTAGTCCCTCCTTCTTTAAGGCTACGCCTCCTCGCCACAGGTTTAGTCCCTCCTTCTATCAGGCCCCGCCTCCTCGCCACAGGTTTAGTCCCTCCTTCTTTAAGGCTACGCCTCCTCGCCACAGGTTTAGTCCCTCCTTCTTTAAGGCTACGCCTCCTCGCTCCTTCTTTCAGGCTATGCCTCCTCGCCACAGGTTTAGTCCCTCCTTCTTTCAGGCTATGCCTCCTCGCTCCTTCTATCAGGCCCCGCCTCCTCGCCACAGGTTTAGTCCCTCCTTCTTTCAGGCTACGCCTCCTCGCTCCTTCTATCAGGCCCCGCCTCCTCGCCACAGGTTTAGTCCCTCCTTCTTTCAGGCCCCGCCTCCTCGCTCCTTCTATCAGGCCCCGCCTCCTCGCCACAGGTTTAGTCCCTCCTTCTTTCAGGCTATGCCTCCTCGCCACAGGTTTAGTCCCTCCTTCTTTCAGGCTACGCCTCCTCGCTCCTTCTATCAGGCCCCGCCTCCTCGCCACAGGTTTAGTCCCTCCTTCTTTCAGGCTACGCCTCCTCGCCACAGGTTTAGTCCCTCCTTCTTTCAGGCTACGCCTCCTCGCTCCTTCTATCAGGCCCCGCCTCCTCGCCACAGGTTTAGTCCCTCCTTCTTTCAGGCTATGCCTCCTCGCTCCTTCTATCAGGCCCCGCCTCCTCGCCACAGGTTTAGTCCCTCCTTCTTTCAGGCTACGCCTCCTCGCTCCTTCTATCAGGCCCCGCCTCCTCGCCACAGGTTTAGTCCCTCCTTCTTTCAGGCTATGCCTCCTCGCTCCTTCTATCAGGCCCCGCCTCCTCGCCACAGGTTTAGTCCCTCCCACATTCAGGCCCCGCCTCCTCGCCGCAGGTTTAGTCCCTCCTTCTTTCAGGCTACGCCTCCTCGCTCCTTCTATCAGGCCCCGCCTCCTCGCCACAGGTTTAGTCCCTCCTTCTTTCAGGCTACGCCTCCTCGCTCCTTCTATCAGGCCCCGCCTCCTCGCCACAGGTTTAGTCGCTCCTTCTTTCAGGCTACGCCTTCTTGCTCCTTCTATCAGGCCCCGCCTCCTCGCCACAGGTTTAGTCCCTCCTTTCAGGCTACGCCTCCTTGCTCCTTCTATCAGGCCCCGCCTCCTCCTCGCAGGTTTAGTCCCTCCCACATTCAGGCCCCGCCTCCTCGCCGCAGGTTTAGTCCCTCCTTCTTTCAGGCTACGCCTCCTCGCTCCTTCTATCAGGCCCCGCCTCCTCGCCACAGGTTTAGTCCCTCCTTCTTTCAGGCTACGCCTCCTCGCTCCTTCTATCAGGCCGCGCCTCCTCGCCACAGGTTTAGTCCCTCCTTCTTTCAGGCTACGCCTCCTCGCTCCTTCTATCAGGCCCCGCCTCCTCGCCACAGGTTTAGTCCCTCCTTTCAGGCTACGCCTCCTCGCTCCTTCTATCAGGCCCCGCCTCCTCGCCACAGGTTTAGTCCCTCCTTCTTTCAGGCTACGCCTCCTCGCTCCTTCTATCAGGCCTCGCCTCCTCGCCACAGGTTTAGTCCCTCCTTCTTTCAGGCTACGCCTCCTCGCTCCTTCTATCAGGCCTCGCCTCCTCGCCACAGGTTTAGTCCCTCCTTCTTTCAGGCTACGCCTCCTCGCTCCTTCTATCAGGCCTCGCCTCCTCGCCACAGGTTTAGTCCCTCCTTCTTTCAGGCTACGCCTCCTCGCTCCTTCTATCAGGCCTCGCCTCCTCGCCACAGGTTTAGTCGCTCCTTCTATCAGGCCCCGCCTCCTCGCTGCAGGTTTATTCCCTCCTTCTTTCAGGCTACGCCTCCTCGCTCCTTCTATCAGGCCCCGCCTCCTCGCCGCAGGTTTAGTCCCTCCTTTCAGGCTACGCCTCCTCGCTCCTTCTATCAGGCCTCGCCTCCTCGCCACAGGTTTAGTCGCTCCTTCTATCAGGCCCCGCCTCCTCGCTGCAGGTTTATTCCCTCCTTCTTTCAGGCTACGCCTCCTCGCTCCTTCTATCAGGCCCCGCCTCCTCGCCGCAGGTTTAGTCCCTCCCACATTCAGGCCCCGCCTCCTCGCCACAGGTTTAGTCCCTCCTTCTTTCAGGCTACGCCTCCTCGCTCCTTCTATCAGGCCCCGCCTCCTCGCCGCAGGTTTAGTCCCTCCCACATTCAGGCCCCGCCTCCTCGCCACAGGTTTAGTCCCTCCTTCTATCAGGCCCCGCCTCCTCGCCACAGGTTTAGTCCCTCCTTCTTTCAGGCTACGCCTCCTCGCTCCTTCTATCAGGCCCCGCCTCCTCGTCTACAGGTTTAGTCCCTCCTTCTTTCAGGCTACGCCTCCTCGCTCCTTCTATCAGGCCTCGCCTCCTCGCCACAGGTTTAGTCCCTCCTTCTATCAGGCCCCGCCTCCTCGCCGCAGGTTTAGTCCCTCCCACATTCAGGCCCCGCCTCCTCGCCACAGGTTTAGTCCCTCCTTCTATCAGGCCCCGCCTCCTCGCCACAGGTTTAGTCCCTCCTTCTTTCAGGCTACGCCTCCTCGCTCCTTCTATCAGGCCCCGCCTCCTCGTCCACAGGTTTAGTCCCTCCTTCTTTCAGGCTATGCCTCCTCGCTCCTTCTATCAGGCGCCGCCTCCTCGCCACAGGTTTAGTCCCTCCTTCTTTCAGGCTACGCCTCCTTGCTCCTTCTATCAGGCCCCGCCTCCTCGCCGCAGGTTCAGTCCCTCCCACATTCAGGCCCCGCCTCCTCGCTGCAGGTTTATTCCCTCCTTCTTTCAGGCTACGCCTCCTCGCTCCTATCAGGCCCCGCCTCCTCGCCGCAGGTTTAGTCCCTCCCACATTCAGGCCCCGCCTCCTCGCCGCAGGTTTAGTCCCTCCCACATTCAGGCCCCGCCTCCTCGCCGCAGGTTTAGTCCCTCCCACATTCAGGCCCCGCCTCCTCGCTGCAGGTTTATTCCCTCCTTCTTTCAGGCCCCGCCTCCTCGCCACAGGTTTAGTCCCTCCTTCTTTCAGGCTACGCCTCCTTGCTCCTTCTATCAGGCCCCGCCTCCTCGCCGCAGGTTCAGTCCCTCCCACATTCAGGCCCCGCCTCCTCGCTGCAGGTTTATTCCCTCCTTCTTTCAGGCTACGCCTCCTCGCTCCTATCAGGCCCCGCCTCCTCGCCGCAGGTTTAGTCCCTCCCACATTCAGGCCCCGCCTCCTCGCTGCAGGTTTATTCCCTCCTTCTTTCAGGCTACGCCTCCTCGCTCCTATCAGGCCCCGCCTCCTCGCCGCAGGTTTAGTCCCTCCCACATTCAGGCCCCGCCTCCTCGCCACAGGTTTAGTCCCTCCTTCTTTCAGGCTACGCCTCCTCGCTCCTATCATTTCCCGCCTCCTCGCCGCGGGTTCAGTCCCTCCCTCCTGTGACTAATTTCCCTGCGGCTGATTTCGGTGTCTGTGTCAGATTCCAGGCCTCATGTCCCTAAAGCGTCACGCCTCTGTGGTCTTCGTTGGCATCGATTCGCTGGACGACATCAAGAACAACAGCTGTATGGAGCTTTTCGTGTCCGGAGGCTGCATCGTTTCAGACGAGCTGGTGCTCAATCCGGACGTCATCACCTGCGGTACGTCCCGATCCGGATCCTACTGGGTTCTGCTCTGTGGGCTGTTTCCGTTCGCGGTAATGAGATCTGCTCTGCTGTCTCTCTGCAGATCGACTGGCCGCCCTGCTGAGGCTCCTGGAGGAGCACAGCTCTCCAGAGAGTCTGTGGAGGTGGAAGATTCACTGCAAAACCCAAAAAAAGTTAAAAGAACAGGCCAGGTACAGAATCTCTGTCCTTCAGAAGATCTCATCAACGCAGCTCATTTAGCAGCTTTAAGGATCTTAACCCTGGATGTGGCTTTTTTGGGTCGACTTGTGTGAATTTGAAGAGAAAATGTAATGTTTTTAAGTTGCGACATCCAGATGTTGCAGCTGTTTTCCTGAGCAGCATGTTTGTCCTCCAGGTTCCGGAGGGACGCAGCCAACCTGCTGGATCTGCTGTTAACCTATCAGAAGCGTCAGATCATCGAGTTCCTGCCGTATCACCACTGCGACATGACAAACCACCAGTCGCCCGACTTGGACTGCCTCGTCGAGCTCCAGGCCCGGTACACGCAGTTCCGACACACCGTCTACCTCACCGGTACGTCCTCGTCGCTCTCTGATGTTTAGCATCAGGTTTTTGAATAAGGAGAAGTTCAGCTCAATGACTGGAAATCAAGCAGATTCTTGTCATCCTGGCTGTTATCTGATACATCTGTGTGCCAGTGGCGCCTCCCACTGCAGGTTAAGTCCCTCCCTCTTTGAGGCTCCGCCTCTCTTCTGCTGGTTCGCATCTCTGTTGACTTCTGAAGTCAGCCTGTATTTCACCCAATCTCTAGAAAATGTGAGCGTTTAGGAGCACAGTTGGAAGAACATCTTCTCATTTTTCACACGTAGAAGCTCGACTCAGCCATCATCGAAGGATTTCACTTCATCTTCCTCTGAAACGTTCCTGTTTGTGTCCCAACACAGAGCACCCCTTTGATAAGTTCCCAGCCTTCTCCAACGAGGGCATCATCGTGGCCGGCATGGAGGAGATCCAGCAGAGCTTCAGCAGACTGGTCGGCTGCCACAGCATCAAGGACAAGCAGCTGTACGTCGAGGATCTCCTCGCTCCCAAAGGTCGGTTCAAACAATTGAGTCATTTTACACAAACCACAGTAACTGTGTGTTTATTATCTATAGAGTCAGAGGCGTCATGAGGAGAGCGGTCTATTTCATGTTCCAAACAAACCTGTTTAATGTCAGCCGACTGTCACAAAGTCAGCTGACATTAAACAATGACATTAGTCCTCAATATGGTCGGTTAGAATAAAGCCTGTGGTCCTGCATGTCTCCCCTTCTCTCTCATTCCCCCTTTCCTGTCAGCATACTGTCAGAAAAACAAGCTACTAGTGCCGTAAAACCTCAAAAATAAAAATAAAAGCGCTTTATAGGTAGAGGACATTTACCAAAGTCTGCCATCTGTGGGCCATCAGTTCCAGGTCAGTTATCTGATGGTTGTCATACCTTCAGTGTTAGTTCCTCATCAGTTGTGGCGTCTAGCTTATCCTAAACCTCTGAGTAACTTCTGCATAACTTATCAAGAACAGAAAAAAACCACTGCAATAATCTCCTTCTGAACTGTAGGAAAGGTACAGTAGTACCTTCCAGTACTTTCCTTGATGGTCCTCGGCTGGTCCCCTACAATTCCTTTTTAAACAGTTGGAGGGGATTTTACTGCCATTCGGCTGGGAGGGGCCATTTTTAAAGGGTGCTACTGTAGTCTGACTCGGTCCAGCGAGCGCATTTGGTCGTAGGGAAATCATATTTAAATGTCAAATCATTCTAGCTTAAACATGTATATAAATGTACAAAAATGTAGAAAATTTCTATTTGAAAAAAAAATCCTGTCTTAAAATCAGTTTTTTTTCCGTCATCTTCTGCAGGCCAGTTAGTTCTATGTCAGCCTGAACACCTAAATTCGGCCAATCATTTATCAACGGTCAACTGTCAATCATGTTTTTTTGGTCATAGCATCTTGATTCATATTTCGCAGCTAATATACGCCGGTTGAAATCAGAAATCAGAATAGTTTCCTTTTCCGACTCAAACTCTCATCAAATAAGGAGATATGTAGCTGCTGCGCCTTCATTCTGACGGAGTCATGCCTGCGTCCAGCAGTACGGTGCTGTTAGCCTGGAGGGGCTGATACTGTACCGCGCCAACAGAAACAAGGAGCTCTGCATTAAAGGGATAGTTTGGGATTTTTGACATGAATCTGTATGGCATCCCCATCACCAGTGTCATGCAATCACACTGACTTACCCCTGGCAGCGTCCTGTGAGCAGAGTTCTCGTCCAGCTTTGGTCAAGCCGAAAGTAGTCCGGCAGGTTTGCTAGACCCAGCGAAATAAAACGTTTCTCTTCCCAAAACATTATGTGTTCAAAAGAGTGATATTTTTGCATCCCAAAAACATTGTAGTGGAAAAAGTCACACGTCGTTATCACTTGGTCCTATTTTCTCTCTGTTCGTATCAGTGCGCGCGACACCATGACCTGACAGCTAGGGCCTACTAACCTGACAACAGCCAGATGCATGTCTGGGCGGAGCGAGACATGCATCTGGCTGTTGTCAGGTTAAGGGCCTACCTGTTTGATTCGCGATTGTTTACTACTGGGGAAGATGTCTGACTACGAGAGCGACGAGGAAAACATCGACTTCCACTTAGAGCCAAAGGGGTATCTTTATGAACCCGAGTACACTGACGATGAACTTCGACAAATGGAGTTAGATCGGGCAGAAAGAGAGAGGCTGGACAGAGAAGTGATGGAAGCTGAAGCCGGAGCCGCAGGAGCCTCAGCTGGAGCTGCGATATCCAGGGTGGCCGACAAATCATGGTGCACTTGTTTCAAGTGCGAATTAATGCAGACAGAGGTGGAATGCTACTGTTGCCACGAGTGGGATTTAGTAATGCCCGAGATACAGAACCTTTCTATTGATGAGGATGTCGGAGTTGCAGCAGCTGCTGTCTGCATCACAAACAACAGCGACTTCCCTGCCCTCCTCAAAGTTGAGCTCGCTGTCAGAATGACGGCGCGCACTGATACGAACAGAGAGAAAATAGGACCAAGTGATAACAACGTGTGACTTTTTCCACTACAATGTTTTTGGGATGCAAAAATATCACTCTTTTGAACACATAATGTTTTGGGAAGAGAAACGTTTTATTTCGCTGGGTCTAGCAAACCTGCCGGACTACTTTCGGCTTGACCAAAGCTGGACGAGAACTCTGCTCACAGGATGCTGCCAGGGGTAAGTCAGTGTGATTGCATGACACTGGTGAACTATCCCTTTAATGGAGGCTCCTCTGAGACTGTTTCCAGAAAATCTTCAGCATCTAGAGGGGAAGCACTGCCCTCTGCAGGTGAAAATGAGGACAGCACTCTAGATGCTTCCCTGCCAAATGCTGAACCATCCCCAGCCGGCTCCTCCCGGTCCCCTCCGGCTTCCACACCTTCTCCAGCATCGTCTGTCGCTGCTAAACCTGCCGATGGCTCCACTGCTGCTTCACCCACGTCAGCCTCTTCAACCCAGGGGGGATACCACCCTCACAGCATCGTCATCATCATCCTCTTCCTCCCCTGAGCCAGGAGAAGCGAGCGCTGCAGGAGCTGGAGACAGTAGCAGCTCAACAACTGCTGCTGCTGGCCTGATCAAGGCTGCACTTTAAGAACTGTTCTAAATGAAATTTATTTTTGTTTGCAATTTTATATACAAAAGGACTAAGGACTGTCTAAGACCATTGAGTTGTTTAACGTTAAATGGTACAATTGCCTTATGAATGAATAAAATAAAAATACACAAATCAATCTGCTGCTTTTTGGATAAAAAAGTCTGATGATCAGAACAGTTTAACTGTAAAACAGGTTCTGTTTAAGCAGGATATCCAGGTCCTGGAACAGAAACTCAGTATCCTTAAACATCCTGGAGCCTCCAAACCTCAACCTCCTGGTTTTCTGTCTTCAGGTCACAGCAGGCAGCCGGACCTCAGAGACTCCGCCTTCCCGTCTCCCTCCACCTTCCCGGATCACATCCGTCCCATCTCTGCTACTAACCCACTCCAAGAGATGCTTCCCGGGCCCAGCGCCGAGCCCACCTTCTGCGCCCACGCGTCTGACCAGATGGTTCCGGACCCCGGCGCTGAGCGGATCTCTCTGACCACCAGCAGAGACATGGAGTTCCTCCAGCAGGCCATCAAAGAGCTGCGAGCGGAGCGTCTGGAGCAGCTGAAGCAGCTCAGATTGCAGCAGGTGATGCTGGAGCAGCAGGTCGAGTCCGATGTCGGACCTTTCTCCAATCCCATCGGCACAGAGGGAGGGGGAGGTCACACCACCCCACCCCCGGGCCCAGCAGCACCTCTGGAGTCATTGCGACTCACTCCAGGCAGGAAAGCCGTGGCGGCGAAGCTGGACTCGATTCACTCTAGGCTGCAGATCTGGGACAACAAAGGGTTGGAGGACAGACAGCCGCCCGCAGAGGCGGTAAACCCAGGAGCAGTGGTGGGATCCTTGACCGGGCCCCCTCAGAATGACACCGACCCATCCAGCCTAACTCAGGCTGCAGCCACAGAACTCTGTGATCCACAAGAATCCAACAGAGACAAGAAGCAAGAAGAAACGGATCAGAGAGAAAAATCTGATGGACCATCTGGTTCTGCTGGAGAGGACAGTGTGTCCAGGTGAGAACATGTCATGACGGTCTGTCAGCGCTCAGATGGTTTATGGGAGATGGAGGGAAAGAGGATAAAGCAGCTGAACGCAGCCAAAAGGTTCTGAAGGCTCTGCAGATCAGGCTCTTCTTTGCTCCTTTGTCTGATTAGGAATAGGAAGTCAGGACATTAAATAGACCCAGAGCGGCCATTTTGTCTGCAGCAGCGCTTCAGTTTCCTCTGCTGCTGCAGAAACATCTGAATCCATTAAGTGGGGGGGTCATTACAGTAATTAATGTGGTACACAGAGGAAGAGAAACCAAGTTGTCCTTAACAGTGGAGTTAATTCTCCTCACCTCCAACAGCTATCTACATGGTCTGGCTGTTGAGCACCACTTTGGTTGCAGCGGTGGAGATAAACTAATGGAGCTGCTCCATCACTAGTTCAATCTTATCTAGAGTCAAAGGAGCCTCGTTTGTCCAGGCAGACATGAATATGTATTCTGGGAAAAGTTGGTTTATTACAGGAAAGACACTGACGGATAAATAGGAGATAACAGAATAATACAATAACAGGAGGTAACCTAATAAAACAGGCTGTAACTGTTCGTAACAGGAGGTAACCTAATAAAACAGGCTGTAACGGGTCGTAACAGGAGGTAACCTAATAAAACAGGCTGTAACGGGTTGTAACAGGAGGTCACCATATAAAACAGGCTGTAACGGGTCGTAACAGGAGGTAACCTAATAAAAAGGCGGTAACAGGAGGTAACCCAAATAAAACGGGCGGTAACGGGTCATAACAGGAGGTAACCCAAATAAAATGGGCTGTAACGGGTCGTAACAGGAGGTAACCTAATAAAACAGGCTGTAACGGGTCGTAACAGGAGGTAACCTAATAAGACAGGATGTAACAGGTTGTAACAGGAGGTCACCTAATAAAACAGGCTGTAACGGGTCGTATCAGGAGGTTACCTAATAAAAAGGCGGTAACGGGTCGTAACAGGAGGTAACCTAATAAAAAGGTGATAACGGGTCGTAACAGGAGGTAACCTAATAAAACAGGCTGTAACGGGTTGTAACAGGAGGTCACCTAATAAAACAGGCTGTAACGGGTTGTATCAGGAGGTTACCTAATAAAAAGGCGGTAACGGGTCGTAACAGGAGGTAACCTAATAAAAAGGCGATAATGGGTCGTAACAGGAGCTAACCTAATAAAACGGGCTGTAACGGGTCGTAACAGGAGCTAACCTAATAAAACGGGCTGTAATGGGTCATAACAGGAGCTAACCTAATAAAAAACGGGCTGTAACGGGTCGTAACAGGAGCTAACCTAATAAAATGGGCTGTAATGGGTCGTAACAGGAGGTAACCTAATATAACGGGCTGTAACGGGTCGTAACAAGAGGTAACCTAATAAAACAGGCTGTAACGGTCGTAACAGGATGTAATCTAATAAAACAGGATGTAACGGGTTATAACAAGAGGCAACAGGATAGAGCAGGATGTGAAGGGCTGTAACAAGAG